TGTTTAATAAATCGTGAATAATCTTAATAAAACGGGGAAAAATAAGATTAGGATGCACGGGAAACTAAACGACCAACTATGAGTGTACTGCGCACGCGTGAAACACTTCCCACTTCCAGCCAGCCACGTCCTCTGTTGAATATAAGGGGTAGCTACGTCCTCGACTCACGTGGACGTCAAGGCAACCAAGAGCTGGAAGTCCTCGAGTCCCTTTAAAGCGTCCTTATCACAAAAATGGCGTAAGTCCTTGAATTTTGAAGGAGTCCAAGGTGGCCGAGTGTTGGCTGGTGGTAGACGCGTGTGTGTGAAGGACTCAAGGACTCCTCCATACTCTTGTGTCTACCCGGGGGGCGCTCTTATATCACCCTTGTTATTAAACCATTTTCCACCCCAATGCCGACACAAGTCACAGATGAGCACAGCTTGTCTGGTACACCACTTACCGGTTAGTATCGTCTCCGTGTCTGGTAATGAGAGAGGAGTGTGTCTAACAGGACCGAGGCAACACCAGGAGGCTTAACTATACACCACCGACGTCACGATAGATAGATAGATAGATAGATAGATATTCAGTAACATCATCAGGTGTTGGCAAGTACTGGACATTTTGGGAGCCTCTGTTACACGCTGTTGACATGTACGACTTCGGAGCTCTTGGATATACCGTAACATGTAACAGTAAGAGCTTAAGATTTAATCCATCTATACTTATCTCAGCTTATTAAGTTGTAAACAAAGTCTTAGAAAATTAATGAAGATATTTTTTTTTTTTTTACAATTGTAGTGAATACATGAATGTTTTCTAAATCCAGGTCGGTTATAACAGCGTAACTTTTAACTGACCAGAGGAGATGAAAACATAACTAATTAAAACTAACTTAAACTGAGATAACCGATATTTACAGCCATCAAGTTAATGTAGTAATTTGAACTGACAGTCTACCATGCCTAATGACCCGTTGTTTCGTTACTTGTTGTGAGGGAGAGACATTAATGCTGGAATATTTTTGTGGGAGGTTACGGACACAAAACTGTTTTTCAACTCGTAGGATTTCGGAGCTAAGCGGAGTGGCCCCGTCGCGTCAGGTCTAGTCTTTGTGTTCTATCCATCCAGACACACCTTTCCCTCTACCCCCCTTCGCCTTCCCCCTGATACACCTTTCCCGCCTTCCTCCCCCTGATACCCCCCCCCTCGCCCTCCCGCTGATAGACCTTTCCCTCTCCCTCCCTTGCCCTCCCCTTGATACACCTTTCCCCCTTCCTCCCCCTGACACGCCTTTCCCCTTCCCCTCCCCAGTCCTCCTCATCCCAACACACCTTTCCCTCTCCCCTCCCCCTTCTCCCCTGACAAGCCTCCCCTTCTCCCTAACACACCTCCTCCCCCCTCACGACACTTTCCCCCGACGCACACCTCCCCATGGGGCAATGCATTGTGGGGAACAGGATTGATTTACGGATTATCCTGAGCAGCTCTTGATAATCTTCTGGTAAGGGCGTAAGGGGGGTCAGAGGGCGTGTTTGTGTCTTTACAGGTATACGATTTAGGCTCCCAGGTATACATGTGCGTGTGTTTGGTGTGTTTGGTGGATAAATTATACACCTATTGCGTCTATTCCTATACAAACAACTAATGTAATGTGTATATAAAGTGTAATTAAGGTCCACGTCTACACACATGCTTGGTGGGGTGACACTGTCTAATACCCTTCTCATATCTGTCCCTGCCCGGGGATTGAACACATGAGACAGTCGGGAGAAGCACGCACGTTACCACTACGTCGGAAGTATATGACAGACACGCAAACATGCTGGAATATTAGGCTGGATTTACCGTTTAAAATACATAAATAATCATACACACACAAAAAGTGAGTTTATATATATGAAACAAGAATAAGCAGCATCAACATTAATGGCCCATATATACACGTAAGATAATTGTCAGTCTCTTGTAGTTACCCCGACAAATTTTCTTTAAAACTATTACAGAAAACGGCTACAGGAAACGGCTACAGGACAAACTAAAATAATTTATTTTCGAGTGACAAATAGAGGAAACAAGTTCCTTCGTTGTTTCCAAACTTGAGTAAATTGAGAAAAAATAATCCTAAATAAGACTAAGAAACAGTTAAGAGGATAGAGGAGTTAGTTAAGAGGTATAAGAGGGAGTTAGTAGGTGGTGCTTGTAAAGAACGAGAACAAGTGGTACAGGATTTAAGGGTCTGTAGACGATTGATATAACCAGTACTGATATGGGAGACAAGGAACACGAAGATCAAGTCGAGCGCAGGAACACTATAGTCGTGTATGGAGTCCGTGAGAATCAGTTAGACGAAGATGAACGTAGGAAAACACACGTTTCTGAATATGTCAATTGTCCCTAACGAAACGGTAAAAGCAGGAGAATAAACTACGCTCTTACATTCAAGGGAGAAAGTGGATTATTCGACAGATAAAAAAAATAAAAATAAATGGCAACAAATTCGAATTCAGCTTTTAAGAACATTTTCATAAGTCCAGATAACACAATAATCCAGAGGGAAAAACATAAGGAACTTCTATTGAAGCAGAAGAGGGAGGAATCGATGAAAAAATGGAAACGAGATCTGGTGGGTTGTATACGAGAGGAAAATAGCGAAGACAAATGCAACAGTGCAGAACGAAAGGAAAGGACTAGGTGGAATAGAGTCAACTTCCAGCCCCCGCGACCTCCTACCCAGAAGAGGCGCTCAACTCAGCCACCTTCTTGTCATGGAAGACCTCAACTAGGGCGACATCTACTGGGGGAACGAAAATACACAAAATTACCCATTTTTTTTTTTTTGTAACTCTGAAACTAAACCCACTGTCTCCTATAACATATGAACCACGAGGAAAGAGGCCATACCCCAAATTTATAGTGGAGGTGATGTACAATAGAGTAGATGATAGTAGAGTTGGTGTAATGTAGATGTTTGTGTAGTTAAAGTATAGAAGATGGTGTAGATAATGAAGTGTAGATAAAAGTGTACTGGATGTGTGTGTGGGTGGGTCACATACAGGAGGCACCTCAAGGCACGTGAAAACTTTCACCAACGTAGTCTACGTCCCATCCTCCGAGTTCGCTGGGAAGACAAGAGAACAAATGCCAGTATTCTCGCTAACACCAACTGCAGGAGTATCGAGGCTACCATTATCCATGAACAACTATGTTGGACTGGCCATGTTACCCGCATGGACGACAGTAGACTGTCAAAGCAGCTACTTTACAGTCACCTAACGAATAGTAAACGTAACGCTGGCGGGCAACTGAAAAGGTATAAGGATAGTCTTAAGACAAACCTGAAAAAGTGCCAAATCGACCCCCTCACCTGGGAGACGATTACTCCACACCGTAACGCTTGGAGGAGCACCACACAAGAAGGTGTCAATACTTTCGAGTTAGCCCGACTGCATAGCGAGGCAGACAAGTGCCAGCGCTGGAAAGACGCTGCCGCCGCCCCTCCCGCACTAGATGTAGCCCTCCACATGTGCAACATCAGTGGACAACCCTGCCGGTCCCGTATCGACCTTTTTAGTCACCTCAGAGCTCAACAACGAAGGTGACATCTTTAATAACTCATATCATTGTATCACAGCTGGATGATTGTCATACTCGATTCTGAGTGACAGCAAAGTAGTAGTAGTGTATTAGGATATTTAATATTAAGGTAATAAAATGGTGGCGAAGGTATGGCTATTGGGGGAGGCTGGAGGCCATAATATAAAGTAGTAGTAGTGTATGTGTGTTAACAGGGAAGGAAACAATGGAATCTCTTTAATAAAACTTCATTCATTCATTAACACCTTCCCTCCCCAGCCCGTCCCATCCTTCCTCCCCTCACCTCCCATCCTCTCTATCCTATTTCTCCTTTTCTCTTCCCCTCCCTTGTCTTCACGTCGTTCCTCCCCTTTTTCTCCCTTCTCCTCGTCTCCTCCCTCTCCTCCATTTCCCCTTCCCCTCCTCACCTTCTTTATCGCCTCCTCTTCCCATCCTCCCCCCCCTCCCCTCCCCCTCCCTCCTCCTTCATGTTAACATCACATCCTTCCATACAGGTAAGACTGATAAAGATATAAACAAAACATAAAGATAAAAGCAATACAAAAACAAACAAGAAACAAAACAAATCAAACTGGGATTCGTCCTTCCTTTCTCTCCACCAATGAGGAGTTCCGTTAATACTCATTGGCTGCTGATTAACCAATTAGAGACTGTGGTGGGTAGCTGGGGGCAATGTTGTGCTGGCGGTTCAGTTGTCCCGCGACGCTGCTCAGGTAACGTTAGTGCTCTCACATGTAACTTATTTTACGTATTTTGACTTATTTCACTTAATTCAGGAACAATAAGGACGCTGTAGACGATACATATAACATCTCAAACGTGTGCAGTGATGAGTATTTTGTGTGATTATTGTACAGAGTTAGAGTACCTTAGACTTTGTTGTGGCGAGAATGACGAGAAATTTTTGACCCACAACACACGAGAAAAATTTGGTGATCTTGTAAAATGCAGAGCTTAGGGTAGCGTTCTCCTAAGGTCGCCAGTGCCCTTCCTTCCTTCCTTCCTTCCTTCTCCCCTCCCCCCTTACCACCTCCGTTCCCTCTCCCCTCCGTTATTACAGTACACTTCTTACCTTCTCCTTCCTCTTCTCATCTCTACCTCCCACCTTTCTTTCCTCTTCCCTCCCACTCCTCTCTTTCATTACACTTCTTACCCTCTCCTTCCTCACCTCTTCCTCCTCACCACCCTACCCACACCACACTTCCTCTTCCCTCCCTCCCCTCACCCCCTCCCAGCCCCCCACCCACACCGCCCCTCCCTCCTCTCTGTACCAACAATGGGTCGACAATCAGTAGCGGTTTCCGTGGGGGTGAAACAATCATCTGATGAACTACAACTAATGTAGACGAAGAGAGAGAGAGAGAGAGAGAGAGAGAGAGAGAGAGAGAGAGAGACCACAGACTAAATTTCAACCTTCCAGAGACCATGCTTCACCTGGTCCAGTTTCCAGCGTTGGTGATGGCTTTAACACTACCCTGGATAGCCTCTGGACAGAATGGGAAGAGTCTATGTGGCCTCAATGGGTGCCAGGCCATCGACCTCTCCAAACGCTACACTGACCTCTCCATGGCCAAGATGATGAGGACCATTAAACCAGAGGCGTTGGAGGAGGTCTTTCAGAACATGGCCAAACTGGAGATATTGGTCCGGCAGGTAGAGGACCTCCAGAGAGACGTTATGAGCCTCTTCCAGCCAGGTGAGTCTAGTGTTTCAGAGGTCAGGTGAGTCTAGTGTTTCAGAGGTCAGGTGAGTCTAGTGTTCCAGAGGTCAGGTGAGTATAGTGTTCCAGAGGTCAGGTGAGTCTAGTGTTCCAGAGGTCAGGTGAGTCTAGTGTTCCAGAGGTCAGGTGAGTCTAGTGTTCCAGAGGTCAGGTGAGTCTAGTGTTGCAGAGGTCAGGTGAGTCTAGTGTTTCAGAGGTCAGGTGAGTCTAGTGTTCCAGAGGTCAGGTGAGTCTAGTGTTCCAGAGGTCAGGTGAGTCTAGTGTTCCAGAGGTCAGGTGAGTATAGTGTTCCAGAGGTCAGGTGAGTCTAGTGTTCCAGAGGTCAGATGAGTCTAGTGTTCCAGAGGTCAGGTGAGTCTATGATGGTTAGGTTAGGTTAGATTAAGTTAGGTTAGTCCACCCTTTGAGTTGATATAATCTCTCTCTCTCTCTCTCTCTCTCTCTCTCTCTCTCTCACACCCCTTGTTTCTCTCACCCTCTCCTCCTCCTCAGTGTGGCCCGTCAACCCTGGCCCTCAGAGGTGGTCCATGTGTGCAGAAGGGCCGTGTTCCTGTACCCTGGAGACTAGGTTCGTCTCGTGTTGGCGACTGGAGCTTCTCTACCATGTACCACGTAAACAACAGATACCAGTAGACACCAGGAGCCTGTGAGTACCTGGGAGAGAGAGAGAGAGAGAGAGAGAGAGAGAGAGAGAGAGAGAGAGAGAGAGAGAGAGAGAGAGAGAGAGAGAGTCAATATGCATATAGTTTAACGAGTCTGATGTTGGATATATTTACAAGAAGAGTATGATGTGTATAATGAATATGCTGAATATAATGAGTATGATGAATATGCTGAGTATAATGAGTATGATGAATATGCTGAGTATAATGAGTATGATGAATATGCTGAGTATAATGAGTATGATGAATATGCTGAGTATACTTTCAGGGACCTTGGGATGAATCGTCTAAAGTTTCTACATAAGGATTCGTTTAACAGCCTGACGGAGCTAGTGGAGCTGTAAGTCTTAACCCTGTATGTATGTATGTATGTACCTGTATATAGTAGTAGTAGTAGAAGTAACAGTAGTAACAATAGTAACAGTAGTAGCAATAGTAACAGTAGTAGTATTAACTATTTACCATCCCGTTTAACAGAGACCTGAACGACAATCAACTAGAGTTACTGCCCAACAGTCTCTTCTACGACCTGGAGAACCTGAGGCACCTGTAAGTACCTACTGTCCTGTCACTGTCCACTTGGAATAGTTGATGTGGCTCACTATCTATCTAACTAACTGTCTGTGTGTCTGTCTATATCTGTCTAGCGCCATATATTATAAAGACTGTGGCCATATATAGTGACTGTGGCCATATATAGTGACTGTGGCCACGTAGTAACTGTGGCCATATATAGTGATTGTTGCCATATATAGTGACTGTGGCCATATATAGTGAATGTTGCCATATATAGTAACTGTGGCCATATATAGTGATTTTGGCTTTATTTAGTAACTGTGGCCATATAGTGACTGTGGCCACGTAGTAACTGTGGCCATATATCAACTCATATTATTGTGTGTTAACAGGAAGCTCCAAAAGAATCGACTGTTGTACCTCACTTCTGATATCTTCCAGGATGCCCGTTCACTGAGGACCATGTGAGTACTGTGAGTGAGTGTGAGTACTGTGTGTGTGTGTGTGAGTGAGTGAGTGAGTGAGTGAGTGTGTGTGAGTATGTATTTGTTCATATAATACCTCATTATCTAACACTAACACTTCCTCCCTCACCCTCACCCTCCACCATTCCTCCCTCACCCTCCACCATTCTCCCCCCCCCACAGCGACTTGTCATTCAACGTTTTAGAAGGCCTGCCTGAGCCTGTATTCAAGAAGCTGTACAACTTATACCTACTTAACCTGGCCACCAACGCCATCACACACCTAAAGGAGGAAATATTCTTTGATCTGGAGAGCTTGGAAGACCTCGATCTATCTGAGAATAAACTCCAGGTATGTTCTAATAAGGTAATATTGGGACATACAGTGGTAATATTGGGACATACAGTAGTAATATTGGAACATGCAGTGGTAATATTGGGACATACAGTGGTAATATTGGGACATACAGTGGTAGTTTGTGATGTACAGTGGTAATATTGGGACATACAGTAGTAATATTGGGACATGCAGTGGTAATATTGGGACATAGTGTTAAAATTGATTAGACTATGCTAGTGGTACAGTCAGCTAGTGGTACAGACAACTGGTGGTACAGTCAGTTAGTGGTACAGTCAGCTAGCGGTACAGTCAGCTAGTGGTACAGTCAGCTAGTAGTACAGTCAGTTAGTGGTACAGTCAGTCAGCTAGTGGTACAGACAACTGGTGGTACAGTCAGTTAGTGGTACAGTCAGCTAGCGGTACAGTCAGCTAGTGGTACAGTCAGCTAGTGGTACAGACAACTGGTGGTACAGTCAGCTAGCGGTACAGTCAGCTAGCGGTACAGTCAGCTAGTGGTACAGTCAGCTAGTAGTACAGTCAGTTAGTGGTACAGTCAGCTAGTAGTACAGTCAGCTAGTGGTACAGTCAGCTAGCGGTACAGTCAGCTAGTGGTACAGTCAGCTAGTGGTACAGTCAGTTAGTGGTACAGACAACTGGTGGTACAGTCAGCTAGTGGTACATTACAGATACTCTTGTTGTGGTTACAGGAGTTGCCTCAGCTGGTCTTTTACAAACTCAAGAGTCTTAAGCTCCTCAAGATGAATCACAATGAGTTAACTCGCCTCCCTTACGGCGTCTTCAGCAACCTCTTCAACCTCAAAGAACTTTACATGCACAACAACTACGTAAGTCACGAGACTGACCAAAACACTCTCTCCTACGACCCTCCTAGCTCTTAGATCTGACCACAAAAGAACTCTTGTATAAAATGACATCAATGCTTACCAGTTTCTCCTCCTCCTCCTCCCCGCAGATAGAGTCACTGCCTACGGGTGTGTTCCGGGACCTGCACAACTTGACATTCCTGGAGATCACCAGTAATCGCATCGTTCAAGTCAACTACAAGGACTTCCTCAGCATGGGCAACCTTCGTTCTCTCTTCCTGGGACAAAATCTCATCTCCCATATACAAAACAAGACCTTTGTCGGTGTGTGGCGATTCTCTCTCTTCTGTTATTATTATTACTTCTTACTTCAATAGTCTGGACCTGCGTGTTTTGCGACTATCCACTCCCAACCCCCTCATTTGAGGTTACAAGACAGGAACTTTACTGTACACCTGTCCCGGGTTTTGGGATGTAGTTCATTCGGGCCCCCACACCTCGACAAGGTAACGCAGGTCTGGGTACTAGTGTACCCTGTGAGGGATGATTATTATTATTATTATTATCATTTCCTGTCATCATCATCATCATCATTATTATTTCATCTTTTTCATTATAAATATCACTTTTCTCCTCAATATCATCATTATTTCCTTATTATCGTCATCATTATCAACCTATCATCCTTCTCATCATCATGATCTTTACTCCCAGGTACACCTAAGTTGGAGAAGCTTTACCTCTTCTCCAATAAGATAGAGTCTGTAGAGCTGGCAGCATTCTCTGGCCTCAACAGCTTGTCTTGGCTCCTCATGAACAACAACTTACTGCGGCAGCTTCCTCGAGCTATCTTCCGCCGCACACCAAGTTTACGGAGACTGTGAGTGAGAGAGAGAGAGAGAGAGAGAGAGAGATTTTATTGTGTACGTGCATAACTGAATAACAAATTAACTCGCCTCTGAACAAGTTAACTTTACTATTAGCTATTAGTTAACTTACTGTGAACAAGGTAACATCTGACCAATGTTATGTCAAGTCATTATTTTGGGGTAATGTTAATGTATAAGATAAATATTGATAATTAGGAATAGATTATATCCTTTACTATTTATTTCTCTTTTCTCTCTCTCAATCTTCCTTGTATTCCCTCCCTCCTATTATTATTTTTTTATTTTTTTTTATTTTTTTTATTTATTTTTTATTGGGCACCCACCTACATCCTGTGTAAGGAGAAGCACAGAAGCACTTACAGCGCCCATCTGGTAAGCATGCTAAGTTCATGCTTGCCTTTATGTCTCATGAGTGAAGGGCGTAGAAGCCTGAAGGGTCATAAGTTTTTTGTCAAGGGTGTAGAAGCCTGATGAGTCATTGGTTTTTGTCAGCAAGTTATTGGAAGCTCCAACAACTTTCCCTGAATACGAATTCGCAACTTTTGATTTACAACAGGTACCTACTTTACTGCTTGGTGTACAGGGACCAAGGGGGGGGCTAGGAAGTGTGTCCAAACAACTTTCCACCGGCCCAGGAATCGAACCCGTGACATCTCACTTGCGAGGCAAGAGCGGTACCCCTCTACCACCGGCGTCCCTCCTCCTTCCTATTCTTTCTTCTTCACCCCTCCTCTTTTCTTCCTACCCCCCTCTGTTACTCCTTCTCACCATATCTTCCTCCTTGCCTCCCTCTCATCCTCATATTCTCCTTCCCTACTAATCTCCCTCCCTCCCTCCTACAGTCAGATTGATAGCAACAAGTTTATGAAGCTACCTGAAGGATTACTGGACGAACTGAAGCGAGTGGAACAAGTGAAGCTTTCCATGAATCCCTGGCATTGTGACTGCTTCATCCTCTACCTCACAGGGTAAGTAGATGAAGCCTTATCTACCCAATGGAATAAATAGATTAAGCCTTATCTACCCAATGGTTACATAATAACTATCATCACACAGGTGGCTCCATCGTAACCCTGACAAGATCTGGGACCGTCAGCCCAAGTGCCGTGGACCTGGCGACTTAGGAGGGAAGCCGGTGATAGAGATGACCTTCAACAGTGTGTGTGATGGTCAGTGGGCGTCCATGACCAAGATCCAGGGCCGAGTGTGAGGCAGTGTGAGGAAGTTGTGTTATAGTATTGTGTTTATAGAATGTTTACCATTTTAACTCTTGGTACTGTACACTTATTTCTACTTTGTAATCTGAGGTGCAGTGGTATATATATGAGTGGTGAGTCACATATCATCATTACTAGTGAATGTACCCACCATCAACATAATCTAACCCCAAAATTAACCTAACCTAACCTTAAAATCTAACTAATCACTCATAACAAAACCTGTAAAAAATAATAAGTCAGTTTTGGCTTCTGTCTTTAGTCTGACACCAAGATACAGATAAATAAAGACAATAATATAACAAAAATCATCTTCAAATATTACCTAAAGCAGCTGATCAGACCTTCAATATAAACACACATTATAATCATTCTAACAAAGGACAAAAAGAATACAAAGACCATTATTTCGACTTGTGTTTTCTTCTTTATTACGTACCTAGAAAAATAGCAGCAATATTACAAGTTCTTTATCTTTTCACCTTTAGATAAAGCCTGTGAAAATTCTATCACTAACAATCAACAACGTTCTCTCGCTTATCTAAAAGAGAATGTACAATTCACAAGTATGTGGAAAAGTAAGCAAAAAGTTATGTAAGAATATTAAAATAGCGATCAACAGTCTGTACGAATGAAACACTTCAGGGGAAACTACTTCAGGTGTAGACGTCTAGCAGTTCAAATCATTAACCCTTTTACTATGGGGATGCCACTTCAGATGATTTATTTAGCTAGAGTGGACCCCATATACAAAGGGATAAAAGTCAACAAACTCTAAGGGTACATAATTAAATAACCCACTTCTATTTGATGACTGATATTAACTGCTGGTATTCTAAATTTTTCTTTTAATAAATGGAAATACTTTTATATGACTCAAAACTCTTGTCTAGTCCAAACACCTTCCCTAAATCCAAGACATCTGATTCACTCAATGCCAAGATCATACTATTTCATGAGTGTAATGTGACAGGTCTTTGGCAACTCCCCTTTAGCTACAGAAACTCCGGTAACTATTGACAATAAACCACAACAATAAATGTCCTTAATAGTTGTCCAGATTAAGAAGCTTTTTTTTCTTTTAACTCAGACAGATAGTTTTAATGATCTTCAGTAGTGTAAAACAATAACTTACTTCTATTGTGTGCAAACATGGAGAGCAAATGTTTCCTATTTGTCTGGAACAATCACAATCCCTGTTGAAATCCCTAAAAGCTACTAGAGACTGTACTGTACTGTAAATTAAAACAGCCTCTTTCTCTGGTATGTGTTCCATCCTGTATGTTACAAGTTGCCTACATATAGTAAACCATATTCAAGAAAATCACCGTCACAATTGATGTCTCTTTTGTGATTATTTATATTCCTTTTAAAATATTCACATCCACAAAGTTTGAAGGATTTTTCCTAACAGAGTACAGTACAGGGTGTAAATGGTAGAGGCTCTCTTTGTACACACACAAGCCCATGTACTCCCCAGACTGCCAAGATAACTGCCACATGTGAGGCACAGAATTAATACAGTAGACTCTTGATTACAGACACAGTATCTATATTTCAATACTTGTTAATTATCCAGTCATTGGCATCCCAGCACTGTAAGCTATGATAACCCAAAACTGACTGTCTGACACATGTCCCACCACGCACCTCAGAATGGACCAAATTTGTGTGTGACGCCCTGAGAGGTGTTACAAACCGAGTGTCAATGTAGCCAATCAGCTTCAAGATGAGATGTGGCAGGGTGTGTATTTCTCCTAAGCATGAAGCATCTCAGGCTAACATACTCTTTTACAACATGTACATTTTAAGAGATGTTGAACTGTAAAAATAAGTTTCATTAAAAAATATAAAATTTTTAGTGAATTATCATATATACAAATCAAACCCACTGATATCAGGACTATCCAAATGTAACCTCAGTGTGGCTTGTGTGCCTACATGAGTCTGGTCACTATTTAACCAAGACCTGAGCTTTGCTCACTGGCTTCCTCTTCAGATAAGAGAACTAGAGACAAGCTAATGTAGGGAATAGCTGCAGATGTATGAAATCACAGCTCCTATTACAGTCTGTTTGTGACCTGACACCTGCAGTAACATGAAATTTGTCAAGGTCAGTTTGAGGTTGTGCCCACAAGACCAATGGATCTAAAGTGCTTGGTTAATGTGTTTGTATGCCACCATGGTAACTCTTCATCCCATTTAGGGATAAATATACATCTCCAAATGAGGAAATGCATGATACCTTATTTCAGACAGACAGACAAATTTATTTGGCTCCCTCTCAAACAAATGTATAGTATAATGCTAAATAAACTGCTTTTTAATGTTGATGTTGGCGACACATACGCTATCTGGTGGCGAGGCTGTTGCAGCATTGAGCTTTAAACTGAACAATGATAAGGGAATGTACAGTATTGGCTTTAGCTTCTCGTTATCGACTACTCTGCCACATCCCAAGCACTGAAAAATATAGAAGTACTTCCCTCGCACCATGAAGCAAATTAGTTGATTTGGAAGACATAAGACATTTTGCAAAAGTTTAATCTACATATGAAGATTTGTATTTATGTTTCTTGTGTTTACATGAGGTCATTATCCACAGGTCTGTCCTCAGTCACAGGGTGTCAGTGATACAGAAGTACAGTATCAAGCATGCCTCTCACAACTGTGTCCTAGGTTTGACCCGGGGTTATATGTGAGAAGAGTATTGTTCAATGTAACTTGTGGTGTGACGGTGAGCATGCTCGCCTCACAACCAACTAACCCAAGAAAGAGTGAAACTATGAGCAAGTTTCTCTACGTTAAATGCCTCCGTGTACCCAGTAGTAATTGGGAACGTGGATATTTTTAATTTGTGGATTGTGTTCCGAGGTAACAGTTAGCCATTTGTCCAGTCTTCTCGAGTTATTCCTTGACACTTTGTGAATACAATTTAGGGTGTGAGTGTTGTGTTGACAATATCTTCTACATCTTACACAAATTCACATCCAGGTGGTTCTATGGCCAGGCAGCCAGTCTTGAACATAAGGGGCAACCATTCTTATATAAACCCAATACAGTATCACAGGTTTTTTCCTCTGGTTTCCTCCTGTACCAACAGTGAAGCCTTAAGGAGACCAAGTTAATGGTGACTGGTAAACCTATCCTGTATATACTAAAAATATTTATACATACACAATCAAGAGTCTAATGTGAAAGCAAATATATTTTTTTATTAATACATATTACCGTACTATATTTGTCCCACTTTGGAACTGATACACAAATTCTATATTTCACTATCAATATACATAATCAAAAACTTACCACCATAATATTACAAAATGAGATGAAATATTACAAAAGAGAAACTAGGACACAAAATATTATGAGAGAATAGAGGCAACAGTAACTACCATTTCTTTAGTTTAAATTGCATGAAATTAATTGTCCTGATAGAGTACAGAAAATCTATGACCAGATGGCTAGATCCTACAGTACCAACCCAGACTAGTGGGGCAGAGGGAATCATAACAGCATTCTATGGAGTAGTGAATTTGTGCAGTGAATTTATTTTTCCCTACAAGGTAAAGCGGATACATCGCATCCCTCTAAGATACAATATACTGTATACTTCTCAGTGTAAATAGATAACAACTTGTAACAATGCAAGATTCATTAGATGGTTTATCCAACATGAACTTTGAAAAGAATTATTATATCAAACTCCCCAATTAATTCTTTGATATCATTATTAAAATACTAAATTCTTCTTCCCCCAAAACATACCAAAAAGGTTCCATCCATAACAATAATAAAAGAAATTAATAATAATTGTAATAAATAGGCAATATATATTTTTTTTCTTTAAGTAAATCATTGACCCACAGTCACCTAATTACCATCATAAGAATCAGTTATAATACACCACCAATATTTCTCATCAGTTATAATAATACACCACCAATATTCCTCACAAAGTTCAGAAGATTCATATACTGTACTATGAAACATGTAAAAATACTATCATCTAAAAACATACATCCCCCCCCCACACACACACACACACACACACACACACACTCATATCAACATCAAAGTTTAATGTTTATATACAAATCTACCATAATGTAAAATAATTATGATCCCTACACAGCTTTGGTCGACACTAAACACCATTACCCCAGACTCAGCATCGTATGTCTGTCCTACTCTGCAACACGGCTCTAAAAGCTTCCGTCAACAACAACAACCGTGTTTACTATGAGGAGAGGATAACAAGACCGTGAAACCTACATATAACGAACTTCCATTGCTATATAGTTCATTAGATGGGGGTTTCACATCTAACGGACTTCCATCGCTATATAGTTAGTTAGAAGGGGGTTTCACATCTAACGGACCCTCGATATAACAAACTTCCATCTCTATATAGTTTGTTAGATGGGGGTTTCACATCTAACGGACCCTCGATATAACGGACTTCCATCTCTATATAGTTCGTTAGATGGGAGTTTCACATCTAACGGACCCTCGATATAACGGACTTTCCTCTCCAAAAGTCCGCTAAATAAAGGTTTCACTGTACTCAATATACTGGATACTAAGGCAAGTGAACCTTATACTATTAACAGCTTTATGCACAAGTTCACTCCAGACTTCAATATGTGAATTAACTCTTAAAATATGACGTGAGGTAATGAAGGTAACCACAAATATTACTGTTAAAACAAGATTGATTCAATTTTGTTTCGTTTCAGTTTGTTTCATTTCGTTTCGTTTCATCACTAGACATGTTAACACAATCAAGACCATTCTAAAAAAGTTCAAAAGTTCTTTTCTCATTCTATACATAACCTACTACTACTGGGTAATGATATAAGCAATTCTTCAAGGTTTTTTTTTCCCTGTACAATATTACCATATAAAGATAACTCCGCATAATGTAACTGAGCTGCCATAGTTTCACCATTCTTGGCAGGTACTGTATGTTACTCCAATACTGTATAATGTACTTGGGAAATAAACAATATAAATCTTTTTTTGTTGTTAAAGTTATGGGGGTCAAGGCGGGTCTCTACTAACACTCTCGTAAGGTCTGATGCATCCTATATACACTTATCTCCCTTCCCTGGTGCAGGTTGATCCCTACGGTAACTTGGTAAACACAGATCAACAGAAACACCGAATATAATAGACGTACAAGAGGAATGTGTCGGTGAAGCTCAACACTTGTAGAAATCTATTTGGCACACTTTCTGGCGGGTACAAAATGTGCAGAGTTTATTGACCATACGTGGGAAAACTACGGTGAATGTATTACGTTAATTTACTACACAAGTTGACCTACTGTGGTAATGTGAAAACCACTCTAGTATGTTAGCTAGTTACTACTCAGGAATATATTTAGTCCTGTCTGGTGGTCATGTGGGATCCAATTCACCTCAACATCACAGAGAAAGAAGGAAGGTAAAGATCAACGCTCTATTTAAAACCAAGATTCAGGGTTCTCCAACTCTACACTGTATTATAAATTATGGTAATAAAGCTAATGCCCTACTGTTGACAGATCTTAGGTGTTCTATTGTTTCTATTGAGTATTTGACTACCTGTATTCACAGTTTCAAAGAGTATATATTCTGGTGTGTAACTATGATGCAAGAATCAATTCGGCAGTTGGTACTGCGTTAAACAATCACTCTGTGGACTTCAAAAAACAGTAATGGGTGTAGTGCACTGTACATGGTCTAGTGTATATTAGAATGTAATTATGATACTGTCGCCCGTCATCATGGAACTCCTGAGTGACATTTGAAACCTAATTATTTTATAATTAGAATAAAGTTGTGAGATTTAAGACTAGAGAGTACAAAAGTTAGTGTAGTGGTCACATGTGTGTCTTGTAATATGGGATGAATTCAGCCAAATTAATGGAGAGAACTGATAAAAGCAATAGGGGAGCTGGTTACACTTTAGAAATAGACTATAAAAGGTGATCTGAGTGGAAGGTTTGGGGGGAGAGTGAAGTAAGGTTCCTGAATATATAACAAGAGAATATATCAACTGTGAGCAATAACAGGTATAAAAAACACTTATGATGAAGACAGAAGAGTTCAGTCAGGTTAGCTCGAATAGGGTTGAATTAAAAGTGGTACATTCACTAAAACAATCAGGGTATATTCATTAAAATTGGCAGTGGGAAAGGAGTTAGAAATAACATATAAACAGGAGGAGAATTTTAAGATGCTCTGTGATTCTCAAACGAAAGGAAAACAGTTCTCCAAGAAATTTAAAATAAACTAACGTGAAGAAGTGTTCCTCTCAACTCTTCCTGAGGGATGAGTTTGAAGAATTTAAAAAAATTGTGTTTGGTGAAAATTTGGCTCATTTTCCTTCTCTAAACATGAATGGGAAAATAAAGAATTTTCTACACTTCTTGTGGATAACAGTGGTGCTTTTCCATCCCACATAACTTCAGACACAGATTTATATCCACAAATGTATGTACATAATTACACATGTACACATTTTGTTTTGTTTGGCTAAAACAACAAACTAAGTTGCCTAAGTCACCCATGGACATAGCATTTTGCAGAAAGTATTTTTTTCCTTAATGTACAGTACAATATACTTGCTGTGGTGACCCTCATATATCTGTTGTTATTCCCCAGTTGAGTCTAAGGCAATGAATTTCTCTTATATTAAACAAAATATTCCAAGAGGTGCTCGTGCACGTTCAACGGCTAAAGGTGAACAATATGTGCGGAAGATTCCTCGTGTGCTCTCCTGTGTTTGAAGCTGGGACACTAGATGATGATGATATATACATAAATAGTCGCCTAACACTACTATCACTTCTAGAACTTGAATTACTATCTGTGAACATAGTGGTTAACCCAACATAATAAGACAAGTCCGGCAGACATTCATAAACAATGGAATGTTCTTATGAAATTGGTCCGCTGAACACAGGTATACCCTAATTTACATTAACTCTACAGTATTTACACATATTTAATCACACAATAATATATAACATAACCTTCATTTATATAATTTTTTTCACTTTCAAGAAACTTTTTATTTTATATTTACATTTTCTGTAGTGGAAAATATATAGTTACCCATTACAGCTAAAGAGAATGATCAGTATATGTGTTCCAAGTAGTCTGAGTGGTCGGTGAGAGCAGTCATAACAAAATGGTTTACAGCCAATTATATCTTTCAAATCCAGCTCCACATTTTGACACAACTCTCCAGCAATTTATTACATTTACCAAGTGATCTACCCTAACAAGAGATGAAAAGAGAGTGACCAACAAGAGAAAAGAGGAGCAACAGTTCCCCTAGAGGCAAGAGACCCTGCTAGCTCCTCACTTTACATGTTAAGTTGGTAGGTGATGGAGGCTGACAAGAAAAGATGACAGACATACTTGTGTTGCAATGTGTCCCTCTAAAATGTGCTGGAGAATTTTGGTTTGTATTTTGAGGAATGTATGTCTGCATTAAATTTAAAATTATATACTTTTCAGGAATGTAGGTATAACTGTATAATAAACTTTAGCTCAGTAACTTCCACTGATTCAAACGACTTTCTTTTTCAAAAATTTCTTTAATCAAAACATTTGGTTGTTGTTATCACTACAACAACAACATTCTATGATGTTCTGTACTGTACTGTAAGGCTTGATACTGTACCATAACCTTACTCTACTAGTCACTCACTCGCACCATAATTAACACACAGTCTAAGCTCCTCCCACCTTCAGGACACTGCGGCCCACATTTAGTAAAATATAATTTCCACAAATCAAATTCTAATAGTAAAATTTAAATACATACATAAATAAAAGCACTAATATTAAATTCATAATAGATCTGTTTTAAAAGATAAATAAATCTCAACTCCAACATAAACCACAGGGCATTTGGCATCAATAATATATAATACCTACTGACATAATATAATCAATGAAATGTAGTAATATCTGTCAATGGATGAACTATTTTATTTGTGTATCACCGGCTTATGTAGTTATCCAGAATAAATTTTATTCCTGCATGACACGACGCTTTTTCCAGGACAATAAATGTTTTAACTTTCCCCAAACCTGCTTGGTAACGTTGTCTTCTCTTCACCTTTATAAAGAAGCTACAGGAGGCCCCCAAGTTAGGAATGGTTATGTTCTTGGACCCTGTCAATATGTTAGTAACTGAGGATCGTGTTAATTTCACCATAAAATATAAATAAAACTATTCCTTACCTGTAAAATCATAAAAGATATCACCCAGTCCCTTAAACTGTTCTGCCCATTTTAAATCACCTTGACCCCTGAAGATGGTTTGCTCATAGAAATGGATGGTGCTCGGAGGATTGCTACTCTGATGAACCTTGTGGAGTTTGGGTCCTGCTTCTGCCAAACCTCCAGCCATGAATCTCTTGGGTTCAATTTCCTCGTCAGTGTCGTCTTCTACAATTATCTGAGCTTCAATTTAGGATGGAATGTCATCTTGATATGTTTAACTTAGTCTGAATGGTAAGGCTCTGATGCTTCATGGGCTTTGGGTCAACACTTCCACTATTATGTTTCCAGGTCATGGTGAGGGCTGATAAAAATGAGCAATAGGAACAAGTACGTACCGAGAGACACACATACAAAACGGCGAAGACCGACGGATTGTGTTATTGTTGCCGGGATTCGGAATTGCTAAGTGCGTGGTGGAGGTGTACCGGTGAGTAAAGAAGTCGAGCTGGAGTTTTATAATGAATATAACGGGGACCACATTAACAACTTCAGGCATTAGTCACTTGGATATTCATAACTCTAAGACCTCCTGTACCCTGATTAGGATATTAGCTTCACTTACGATAACTTTTTGTATGTACTGCAACATCTACGTTTGTATAATGGTAAAGTTAACAAGACTGATATCCATTTTTATCCAGTGCCGCTTACAATAATATTCCTTATTAAATATATGTATGTTAACAATGGGAGGGACACAAACAGCTCCAATTCATAAAGGGATCTTGGAGCCATATGTACCAGAAGGTGGGCGGTACTGTTGAGGGAACATGGCCAGGTGAATGGCAGAAAAGGCATACTTCCGAGACCCAATGTTCTTCTGACAATTTTCCAATCTTGTCCCTTCACTGGAAAATAAGAATCACAATAGAGTCACATCACAAATAAGTAAAATGCTGCTGAATATTACCTCTCAATATCTATATTTCAATATACTTTTAAAGATAAATTCTCACTTACCTTCTCATGCAGTTGAGAGCTCGTTGGAATTCCGTTTCCGCTAAGTCATATTCCGCGGCCAATATATTAGCTTGTTCTAAAGTGGCGCTCATCCCTGTACGATCCTTCCCGCTCTTACAGGAGGTGAAGCGCAAGCCTGAAAGTGTGTACAAACAATGATTACCTGTTTTTAATCTCAAAGTACAGTAGATAAAACTGTTTCAAGTCCTGTTATATGCAGTCACTGAAATTATTAGCTGCCTCAAGTCCTGTTATATGCAGAGTCACTGAAATTTTTAGCTGTTTCAAGTCCTGTTATATGAAGAATCACTGAAATTGTTAGCTGTTTCAAGTCCTGTTATATGCAGTCACTGAAATTGTTAGCTGTTTCAAGTCCTGTTATATGCAGTCACTGAAATTGTTAGCTGTTTCAAGTCCTGTTATATGCAGTCACTGAAATTGTTAGCTGTTTCAAGTCCTGTTATATGCAAAGTCACTGAAATTGTTAGCTGTCTCAAGTCGAGTTATAAGCAGAGTCACTGAAATTGTTAGCTGTTTCAAGTCCTGTTATATGCAGTCACTGAAATTGTTAGCTGTTTCAAGTCCTGTTATATGCAGTCACTGAAATTGTTAGCTGTCTCAAGTCCTGTTATATGCAAAGTCACTGAAATTGTTAGCTGTCTCAAGTCAAGTTATAAGCAGAGTCACTGAAATTGTTAGCTGTTTCAAGTCCTGTTATATGCAGAGTCAATGAAATTATTAGCTGCCTCAAGTCCTGTTATATGCAGTCACTGAAATTGTTATCTGCCTCGCTACCTTGTACAGTATTCCTAAAGAATAATGTCTTTTTGAGAGAGACCAGCACAAGCTTCCTCACCTGCCATAGCACGACAACACTGAGCAGCCAAGTAGAGGACATTTGGATTCTTGCTTCTCTGAGACATAACTTCAACTCCCAGTTTATCTATGAGATCCACAAGAGGTACATCACTGCCCATGGATGGCACTCCTGCAAAGATGGACTCCTCATCAGTCATAAAACACACAGAAAATAATTATATTCTCAAGTCTTTTTTTTTTCTAGGAAAGTGGCAGCTCCAAGTTGTCAGTTATGAGCTCCATAATATTTTCTAACTTGATAAAACCTAAGTACATCATGTGTATATATCTGACATAATGTGAGGAAGTTCTCTCCTACTGTAATCATATCCCATAAAACTATCAGTGTCAAGTTTAGAGACAACGTGTTTGTGATGAACCAAAGATATACTAGCTGAGGTGTATGTCTAATGAGATGCTCTATACAGTATTGGAGGCTGAGTCTTAGGCGGTCGTGTCATCAGGAGAGAGGTCAAGTCTGATAGGAGTACCCAATATATAGGATCGCTAACAAACATCATTAAAAAAAGTGGTGATCTTAATAAAAAAAAAATCTCTGATGGTCACCCTGACTAATCCTATGCTCTAAAACAATGTTTTTAACAGGGACAAATTACATCAAATTTTTATGGTGGCTAATAGACCATTGTTTAAGTAAATCTCAAACGTACTTCTACTGTTTTCCTGTGGCAACGGCAATTTCTTGAAGCGATGGTAATACTGTGATAATCGCTCAAAGCTGTCTTGATTGTTACGTGACTGAGGACCATCTTTGCTCATTTTCTCAGCTAAAGTAGCCTGTTATGAGAGGGGAAAAAAATCATTTAGAATACATGGATTGAAATTAGAAGCCTTAATTTATCACCAAAGGAAAGAGTCAAGCAGATTTGAGAAATTTCCTCCCCAGAACATTTACAGGAGGGGGACTAGAGGGGTGGGGAAGAGAGAGAGAGAACTGGGGGATGGGGAAGAGAGACAGAGAGAGTGAGGGAGAGAGAGATCATTCATAAGAGGACTCCTGGTCATTACTATATTGTATCCTGGATCAAAATCAATGACTTGGAGAGGACATTACACAAACTGCCTAGTATAGACCAATTAAACATTAACATCTTATTTCTTTTTCAAATCCTCTAAATCACCACTACCAAAATTGACGATTCATTCACAGATGCTGCCATATTTACCTCTTCGTTGATGCCAATATTAAATAACACCGGAGTGACACAAAAACTCGGAGGATCATTTGGCTGTTGGGTGTTAGAGGTTGGCAGGAGACTTAATACATGTTCAGGCACAGGCAAGACTACCCGCAGCCCGCACCTGGGAATAAATAAACAACTTAGCCATACAGTATATTACAGCTTTTATATATATGCAACTATTTATATCAAAAGTTTCCTTAAATGATATAATAATGATTCTTTTATATTACATTCCTTCATTATCCACACTCACGCCTAGAGATATAAAAACTACACCACCCTTCCTCTACACTCCAGGGCGCTAGAAAAGTCCCTGTGTATCTGTCATAATTAAAAGTATAGTTATTTATCTTTTCTCTACTTGCACTAAATATCGGAAATGATCACAGTAAGTGTTGTTAGTGGATACCATTCTCAATATTAACTCCAAGTAGAAAAATGTATATAACAGTGTAGGTATAACAAAAAACAACTAGTGTTAATTATTGTAGGTACAGGGGGACTTTTTGATCACCCTACAATAGTAAAAGGTTTCCCCTATGAATTATAACACTTGAACTGCATTTCTTATCATTTTAAGTGTTATTCACCCTTTTCTCTCTCAACACAAATAGACATCATATACACACATACACAGAAAAACAAACACACACATACACACAAATAAAATGTCCTGAAATACTTAAATATACATAACTCAAGTTTAACACCACAATAATGAGACACAGTTGATGTCTGTTGAAATAATTACACTCGACTGTTTAAAATGAAACCTCGTACGTGTCGTCTTTATGTAAGTTAATAAAGCCGAAGAAAAATATATCCTCACTGATTTTAAAGTGACACAGGATATACATAAATTAATATTCATCATCTGTTAACCCCTGATATATAGACACACACTCATAGCCTGGAACTCACAGGCATAATTATACATCCTTTAATATCATTTACATAAAATAAAGATAAGCTTTAATGTGCTTTATAGAAACCCTATTATAGTACCTGTTTCCTGAGACATATGGCATGGGTAACTCATATGATGGTGGAGGAGGAGCCGCTCCCTCACTACGTGTACGGCCACCGTTCTGAGGTCCTGCTGAAGACACCATAACAAACTCAACAGTACCGAGGTCCTCCACCGCAACAACCATGTCACTCAACATCCCTTCCTCTTTTCTGAAAACATGAAAACAATTCACAAGGATATATAAAAGAATATATTGTACTGGGTAGTTAAAACAGCAGACATTGAATTTGAACTTTTTGTTACATATGCAGTGGATCTTAACCTTAGTTGTCCATACAAAAACTAACCAGAAAAAATAGAGGAATGTTTACACGAAGGATGAGGAATTGATTCTGAAATTCCATCTAATAACTAAGCCGAGATAGACTGACTTATGAATAGTCCAGTGATGAGTGAGGCCTTAGGAACCCAGGGAAGCCCTCACCAAAAGTGGTGGAGACTAATCTAAAATTTTGTCACCATCCCCAGCTATTAAAGAGGGATCTGAGAAGCCACAGTTGCCCTAAAGAATATTAGAAAAAATGACAATAATCAAGATGGATTAAGTAAAATATATGTATTTGTATCTTGAGACCAATTATTTTGATAAATAAAAAGCAGAGGAAGACATCAGAAAAGCATCATTCTCAAATATATTCACCAAGGTGTCCCCTTGACAAAGACTAAAGGTAATTGAAAGAGGATGATTCCAAATGACTAATGTTGTATGATGTGAGAAAAACATGAATAACACTTTGTGGTAAGGGAGCTCCTCTGAGTGCTGGTCTGGGATATACTGTACATTAATATTGGTAGGCAGAGGTTCTGAAGAATGGAACTTCAATAGAAATGTCAAGGGCCCTCCCAGACACCCTCATGGTGTTGTTTGTGCAACATGGAGGATATACTGTATCATTAATCATGTAATAAACTCTTCTACTTTAGCTGCTAATATTGTTTTAGTTGAAAACCCTCAATGATCTGGTGATGAATGGAACATGTTGGTTCTACAGCAGTCCTCTGTTGCATTACAATGTCACTAGAGACTGTACAGTACACATTAGTAAATCATGAAGCATTCACAAAACGTGTTATCATACACACTAGTCTTTCAAGAGGTGTACCATACTGCCAACTTACCCAAGACAAGAAACAAGGCACTCAAATTCAGCAAGTGGTCCCAGATGAGCTAAGACGGTCACAAACAGTGGGTCTGCTTTCCTACACCACAGTCTCGTCATTAGACTGGTAACCAAAGCAGTTAGCTAAAAGGGTCATACAGAGCTGTTATTAATATCCTATAATTTTTTATAATTATCAATAACTTATGTATAAAACTCATTAAATCACACTTAATACAACTTGTTATATACTGTATCTATAAAACAAAATAACCTTATCCAACAGTCAAGCATGGGGTGAATTATCCTCAGTTTAAATATGATCTAATAAAGTGTAATCTTTTAACAGAGAATTCTATACCTTCATGAAGATGGATTATATGGTATATTTAACATTGTTCTTAATTTTTGTTTCCCCTCTTACCTGTTCCTTGGCTAATCTCTCACACACACACAATTATTTACACATAGGAAAGCAGAAAGTCACATGAATAAACACAAAAAGTATACCAATATCTAACTTTATCTTTACTTTAACACCTCTTTTTTTTCCACAAATTTGAAATCATCCTAAATTCTGCTTTTAAAAGTTTGGACAAATGGTTATAGCTTATAAAGAGTTAAGTGAACACATACTACTACTTACAGCTTGGGAGAAACAAATGTCTCTTCTGTACTTGATACTGTGAGCGGCTTGGGCAGCTTCCGGTGTTTGCTGTAGACGGAAGACACTGTGTACGAGGCGGGCAGTTCGCATTAACCCGTCCATTGCCTGCCTCAGCTTTTTCATGCTTGGTCTCACTTCCCCCACCCAGTCTACTTCCTCCGGTGTATTTGATTCATTTTCGTTTTGAATATTTGTTTTACTACCCGAAATTTCTTTGACTGAATGTTTGGTATTTGTACTAGATTTATTATCTTCCTCTAAAAAGTTACAAATGTTGTTAGAATTGTTATCATCTCTGTTGGTTTCCTCACTTTCATCTCCTTTATGCTCCTTGTCATCTCCTTTATGCTCCTTGTCATCCCCTTTATGCTCCTTGTCATCTCCTTTATGCTCCTTGTCATCTCCTTTATGCTCATTGTCATCTCCTTTATGCTCATTGTCATCTCCTTTATTCTCCTTGTCATCTCCTTTATGCTCCTTGATCTCTGTAAGTGTTTTGTCACTCATGTCATCACTGTTTCTTGAGATGATAGAGACTGAATCTTTTTCTCTGTCTTGTGAATCGTTTAGTTTACCCAGAGAAGAGCCTTCACTCACACACGGTAATGAATCTTTGGACAAAACTTTATCCCCACCAATTTCCAGCTTTGGTTCACCTTCCAGTGTTGTGCCCAGATCCTCAATACTCTGCTCCATAATCGATTCTAATTTGCCGGCTTTGACGCAGCCGCCGCCTCCGTCACACACGTAACGAGACTCGTTTACCTCGGTCCTGTCGAGCGGTAGGAGTTCCTCTCTTCTCTCCTCGTCAACTGAGAGGCCTCCTTCACTTATACAATCTGTTCTTTCCACTTCACTAGTAACACGCTCTAAGCCAATACCACTGTCTTCTTCGCAGGGAGACACGTCGGGCGTTGCAGAGCAGGAAGATCTTTGACTTTCGTTGGTTCTGGCCACACCCAGACTGGATGACATTGACCTCCCAGAGACTTGACTTGAATCTGAACCAACTGAAGATGAAATAAGAGCTTGATTTTGAGCTGCAAGATTTGAGCTGATATTCTGAGCTTCACTCACAAACACTTTTTTACTAGGACTGGTTCTTTCGCTAACATTATTCAATAAATAACTATTATCGTATTGCTTAGTTTCGTTATTTATGTCTTTTAAATTTTTCTCCAGTTCACTCTGTGATTCTTTATCCGTAACATCGCACAGCAACTCTCTATCCCCATTAATCTCGTCCATTCTACTACAAAAAGTTTTTATTTTACTAGTGAGACACATTACACTGGCCTGCACATTTAGCTGAATGAGGTCCCAAGGTTCAGGTTCATCAGTAGGTCTATACACACTGTTCTCATGTACATCCATAATATCAAATTCTTTAGCGGTTATAAATGCAGTATGGTTCCTCTCTCTATCTATCAGTCTATGATCTGAGTTATCACATATAGGTACACTGGGAACATCAGGGGTCATCAATTCCATATCTAAGGCCGTTTCGGGACTCAGATAACCGGCAATCTTATAGGAAGAATAGGTACGTGTTGCCAGGGTGAGGATTCTAGATGGATTTTGTGGCACTCGGATTTGGTCGAGGAACTCAAATGCTTCTTCAACCAAAGAGGGTTCAATTATGTTCAGAAGTGAACGTGTCTGTGAATCAAATACAAAGTAGTGAATTAGTCAAATAAGTCAGCCCTTTTTTTGGTTACCTAATTTATCCTAATTCTTAATATAGTGTAGGAAGACAACATACTGTAAACATTTTAATGAATGAAAGATAGGAGCATGAAATCACATTTTTTATGGACAACATAACAAGTTGAGTGATGAGCCAAATGTACCACCAGGGAGCTTGGATTGCTTAGCAGCAGCAGGACACATACAGTTGAATCAGGCTTTTTATCCTTGGCATTGTTCAAAGTATCTGATATGTCATTATCATATTGAATGGTACTTGGAATTTGTACTTCAGGAGCAGCATTGTGTCATAATAAATATTTTCTATAAAATTGTATACGAAAGAGCTTAAGCATTTTCTTCTGAACAACCTAATGTACAGTAATATAAATAGGAAGAGAGTATTGAGAAAGAGAGCTGTTAGGATCACGCTTAAGAACAAGAAAACAAATCCACTAACAAAAGAGAATTATACAAAAACGACAGATAACAATTAGAGATCTTCAGAGGTGCCTTCAAAAATATTGCTACTGGTATATAAAGCAAGAAAAGATATAAAAAATAATGTACGTACTTTGTCTTGTAGTTTGGGGAGGAGCTTGGTGAGTGCCGCTGTATCCTCTTGTCTCAGGGAAACTAATACAGAGCGTAGAAGAGCGGTCACTTCTTGTCTTAGTCTTTTAACTCCTTCTACCGCTGCCTCACTGGCCCAGGCCTTGTCTCCCCCACCTGGTGTTCTGCGAGAGCTCTTAGCTTTCTGTAGCATACTGAAAGGAAGACAAACTCTCAGTAATGCATCCTGAAGTCTAAATCCCTCCTCATCTACCTTCATTCACGGGTCAAATACTGCACAGCTAAATCTACCGACAGATGCAAATAATTTACTTGGGTTTGTTCGGCCACTTACTTGACTAGTCCTCCATTCTTGTAGCCTTGGGAATAAGCACTAAAGACGCCATTTGTGATGATGTCATAGAATCCAGAGCGACGAAGGGATTCATTCTGAGCCCAGAGTCTTTGAAGGTGGAGGTTCGTTGGTGCCATTTCTAAAGATGTTTCACCTTTGTCCATACTTTTCTTCAAGCTGGAACCTGAAATAGTAACCAATTATATGTAAACAATTATCACCTCTGTGTACACTCTTACCACAAACCTCTAGAACACTATAAGCACTATGCAATCTGAAAAATGAACCAAGAATCTGAAACCAAACGGATAGGACAAGCCCCATTCTCACACCCATCGTGCCCGGGTGTTCGAGAAGGTTTTGTTGAGACTGTACATTACAGGTTGTGATATATAAATCCAATTATATAATGAGTGAATATTTTTTTTCCAGTATTGTAGTAAACCAAAGTAAGCTTTAACCTCATCATCAGTGAGCGATCAATTAGACCCATAACCATACGCATCTTTAGCAAGCTTGTCTTTCAGCCAGTGGATAGAAAATGTGTAACAGTAGGCCTTACTATCCAAGCACACAGTGAATGGGACTACTTCTGATACAAGTAACACCTCTTAATCTGATGACTTGGTGTGAATTGATCCCATCTGAGTCTGTATAGTTAGCTTGAGGTCTAGTAAGGATTCAGATCAGAAGTCAAAACCTTATATTGACTAATGGGCTTAGTAAACCTTTCTGACTCATGACACAACATCAGATGAGAGAGTTGAGAGTACAGGTCAAAATGGAGAATGATTGTTTATGGTCATCAGAGAAGAAGGAAAAGATGTGAAGCCTTATCAATTGCTTCATATATATCCAATGCAATGAATATAAGGTTTTCCATGTTTATTTCTTATCTGATAAACACTATCTCTAAGACCAGAGAAATTCAGCAGTAAAGAAACATTGCTCAAATATTAGACACTAACTCAAAAATTCTTGAGATAAAAAGGAAATATGTTTACAGTTCTAAAATTTTCATATCATTCATACATAATTTTCTTCACCCAATTCAGAGTTTTAGTCAATGATCTAACATTTAATACTAGAATCAAATAAGTTCATTTTTGTTCTACACAGCTCAACACTCTGAAACAAAGTTCTCAGAAAGGCTCTTAAGTCTACCATACCTGAATGAGCTGCTACATCCAGAGTATCCAAGGCCATGTTATAGATGTTAATAAGAGTCACATGCTGGTTAAGTAAGGCCATTTGTCTGGTGTGCCATTGGTCGGACAAATCTCCCAGTGAGGACAGTTCTTCCTGCCACCGCCTCTCTTCGGAGATCCACAGCCGCCTGAATAATACAGTAATTCAGAACTGTAATAATATTCTACTCATTACATAACTTCAACTGAACTTCATCATCAGCACATTTTATTCCTACCTAAAAAGAGTGAATCCTGAAGATGAAGGAAAGAATTATGAAATCCAGTTTTATGGCCAATAACATGAATGAGAGGCTAGTGAGATGCAGCATTGCCCCAGCACCTTAAAGCCAGAGTCTGTACCTGTCTGTAAGGTGGGTTAAGAAACATCATTATAAAAGAGGGTATACAGCACAGCTCCTATCTTTAGTGACTGGCTCATCCCCACTGTCCTCTAACTCTGTGTATGTGTTCTGTGTATTTCTATGTACAGTACAATATTCTATCTTTTATATATATCATTGTTTGGATTGTTCAGCTGAATGGTTGATTTTTTTATGCAGAAACTCTGATTAGAATAACTTAATAAACACTCTATTATCACCTCTCATATGTTTGTAGTGGAGTGTGAGAATAGATCGCTTGCATTAGTCACTGTCATTAGAACAATATTAACGTAAGAAGGAAAACATAACACAAAAATTACTGTGATGAACGGGACTTAACATCTGATATAACAGTTTTGATAAATTTCAAGCCTTCAATTATTTTTTAAAGGATCTCTTATACTCGGGTTCAAAGTAAAGTTAGTAAACAAATATACAACGTACAATAAATGCTGAGGAAAAGTGAAGCAGTAACGGCTCTCTGCCATCACCTCCAATACAGCGATGTCTCCACCCAGACCAGAGTGAAACCTGAAGGTGGCCATCGTGGGGTTATCATACAGGAGGCTGAGGTGACCCTGAGTAGGATGGCGAGTCTTGGAGCTGAGTTTTGGCGGGAGGGACTGTGTGCGGCGGTGACAGGCAACAGGTGGAGGAGCCTAGAAATAAAGAAAGGAATTTAGTTTTGAAGCTCATCCATAAAAAAAAAAAAAAATCTCTAATACAAGATTTTTCTATAATAACTGATTGCATTACTCGATACACACAATATACATTTATTCTTTTCTAATATCTGTACCTCCATAATATATAATTTGTCATAATTCAGGTATTTTCAGAGATTCCTAACCTCAAAGTTTGCATAAGCAGAATTCCCATAAAACGAACAACCTTTTAAATCTAAAAAAGAAAAAATGGTTAGGCATTCCTCAACCTCTATTGTACCACTCCAGGTCTTTTTCTAACATCAATTCATGACACTCAAACAATCATCACTGAAAAAGGCAGGCTTATGACTACAGTACAGCTCCTCCCCGACTTACGACCTACTCGACTTACGACCACCCGGACATACGACCGCCTCAGTCGTATGAAAATTTTGTCAAATTATGAATTTTTGAGTCCCAACGTCAGTGATTACGCTGTGTACTGACAAAATTTTCGTGTGTAATTCACTTTAAAATGGCTGACAAGCTTAAAAGTGAGAGTTGTGGTGCTGAGAAGAAAAAGAGACACCTATTTTAGATTTTCTATATATTATTTAGGCATTTTCGACTTACGACCTGGATTTGGGTCCCTAACCCCGTCGTAAGTCGGGGAGGAGCTGCACTTACAAGTCATGGAGGTCATACTGGGTTACTCACTGGCTGATGGTTCGGTGTAGCATTACTAGGTGTGTGTGACGAGGCATCTACAGACTCAGCTTCTAGCGTCCAGGCCGTTATAGTGATGAAACCCACATTACGACCAAGTGGCGACTGTAAACTGAGACGTGACCGACCAGTTTCCAGCAGACCCCCAATGTTTACCTGTCACAAGATAAATAGACGTATGTATTTGTATAATTACCAACATAATTCCCCCAAGAGTTGTATATATTAAGCATTCATTACTATACCTTTTACGGGCAGTATATATGTAACAATACGACCATACTTTTCACCAGTCATGTCACCAGAGCCCGGCATTATACCACCAAGTACTTGCACCAAGTCTCTCATATCTACTGTACTCCTCAGCATTAATACAAATCTTCCTGTAATACTCACAACCTGACATGTTGTATTACACTAAAGATACACAACCGTGATGAAAATTAAACAAACACTGGACACAAAAGATAATGATTTGATGTTCTTTTTAACCAATAGAAACAATTTAAATATTAATTAGTCTGTATTATACTGTGTCAACGGCTCTATGCCTCAACACCCTTGGCTGGTCTCCCTCACCACACGGTACAGTCCCAACTTCTAACTCTGAACCACACTACATCGGCTCACTCTCTTCACACAGTTTTCTTTGATAGGCACAATGTGTAGGTGATCTATGGTAATTAAAGAGTCATCTAGTGAAGCACGTTAAAAATAAATACATTACATAATTACCCATTTAACACACGTTACTGTAATTCACCTTCACTGTCAACTTACCGTGGACTGGCCGAGCTGTGTGGTGGTGTTAGTGACTCTCTCCCTGACGTCGTATACCGCCAATCTCACTTGTGTGTTTGCGTCCAATCCGTCGCTTTTGCGGAAACTTACGGTAGAGAGAAAGTTTGGGTTGCTGGTTCTCTGTGGAGGTAGAGATTGGTCTTGTTATCTTGTTTTGGATGACTTTGTTTAGTAGGTTTATTACTTCAAACACATTACTATATTATTAATGATATCTTATGCCTTTGACAGAGAAGTGTCTGTCGTGAATATTTTAGGATATAAATGTTTTCACCTTAAAGGAGTTTGGGAGGGAGGAGAGGGATGGTGGGAGGAGAGGGATGGTGGGAGGAGAGGGATGGTGGGAGGAGAGGGATGGTGGGAGGAGAGGGATGGTGGGAGGAGAGGGATGGTGGGAGGAGAGGGATGGTGGGAGGAGAGGGATAGTGGAAGAGGATCCAACTTAATGAAAGGTAAAAAAATGATATAATTCTCTGTTATTTTATTGTTGTTGTGAGGAGTTACTTAAGATGCTTGACTGTCCTCCTCTTCTTGACTTAAGATAACTGTTAAGGTCATCAAACACTTCCTACCTAAAATGCACATTTGTAACCCAAACAAATATCTCCACCATGATCACTTGCTAATGTATGTCTAAACTACATCACATAATATCATTCTTTCAAAGTTTATTTTGTTTCTAATAAATATGATCATTTTTTATAGTGACTCAGGGAACAGTATTGGAGGAAACAGTAAATACAGATATTGTTCACATTTACTTACTTCTATTACTTCAGTTTGTGCATACTGGAGCCAAGTTGTCTGTGGTCTGTTGAGAACTTGTACGGTTACCCTAGGAGACGGAGGCTGACCGTCACCGTCACAGCGAAGATTGTCACACGACACCGACATCTCTAGGAACGGAGGCTCATTGACATCTGTCAAAATCAAGAAAAATTAAATATGTGGCTTTATGTCATGTAGACATATGCACCATTTATTAAATATTACATGCTGCATGCACAGCTCTGCTATGTGTGGATATTTATCAAGGATAGTTAGCACTTGTGTTTAAATGGCTAGACAGATCTATCTTTTTCATTAACATTAAATTTCTGGTCATAAAATACAGAAAGATAAACACTAATAAAGGAATATTACTTCTATATTACTTTCATAAATATATATATATAAAAATTAAAACAAATGTACTGTACAACTTTATACCAAGTAACTACAACATACAGTATTATATTAGTTTGACAACCTCCTAAAATGGACCAACTTTAGACTGTAGAAGCAAGTTGATACACATCATTCCAGCCTTATACTGTAGAGTACACTTACATGTTGACCCTCTCTTATCTCACACCTCATGTAACTCCCAATTAACAGCTCTGTTGTAGTATAACCATTTTCTGACAAACCTCCTTACTAACGACACAATTAACCCCCACAGTTGTCCAAAGACCTGATGTCACTATAGTTTCAAAACATTCAAACAATCATCACAGCGTAAAACAAAACAATAACCATAAAATCCAATAAAAGTAAAAAAAAAAACATCAATTCCAAAAAATGACTTAAGTTCAAGTCATATAAATAAATTACTCTACTTGTTTACTCTATTTCTCTTCAACAAAATAATTATGTAAGGGACTCAATAAAAAAAAAATATGAAAACCCGCAACACAGTGGTAAGTTTGGTCCTGATGCTGGTGATGTGTTTACAGATATTTAATTATTATTATTTTACCCCCAATTTACTGTACATAATGTTTATCAAGTGACCAACAAATCCTCCTGACTCTAATATATCTCAGGAGAAAGAGACACTAAGTATTATAGAGAAAGTAGAGCTGCTGAAAGAGTGAGATGATGGTGCTTCTGTTCCCAGCTGTGTGTGTTGGTTCACCTACAGTGTGTGACTTGATACAACAGAAAATGGGAACTTCTTGACCTTTAATAAGTGAATTCTACAAAACTTAAATTTATTCTGTCATTATTTAATATCCTATACATCAATTAACTGTTTTTGTTTGATTGTTTAATTCATTCACTATGATGTATAAAAAGAAATCCATAACATTACAGGGCCTCAGGCTAGGTGTATCTTAGGCTAATGGACAATTCATCATCGACCTTCAATTTAAAAGGAATTTGTATCATCTGGCACGGCCTCAGTCCCAAGGCTGCTGAATAGTAGAGGGTCAACCTGGAGTGTGTAAATGTGCACTCTGAAGTTAATCCATTTTACAGTACAGAAATCAAAATAATTCACACAATGCAATCTATCAAATATATCCCTTCAGTACAGGCAAGTTACTATACATCAAGGAAACACCAATATAATCAGTCCATTAAATATAAAGAGCTACTCATGCATGGTAAAGTTCTCATAACTCTAAAATACACAGAGACTAATAAGTTACTCATGCACAATACATGTACTCCTTCCTCTAAAACAGAAAAATACTTATTCAGATCACTCATGCTGGTAGGTATCACTAAGTGGGTTGGGAGTACAGTAGTGGTGAATGGTGATGCAGTTGGCAACTAACCTACGGGGGGACTTCGCCTACTGTGCACATCTGTCAGGGAGCACATATTACCACGGTCAAAATCCAGTCTACAATAAGAGTCTTCATGGACATTACTTCCATGAAATGACGAAGTGGTTGAGTGAAACTAACCCTGGTAATATGACTTCCAATTAGAATTAAAATATTTAATAAAACATGAAAAAAGTGATGATTTACATATACAGTACAGTAAACTTTCCTTATTGACCCTACAGACAGTGACTCAACAAATTGTCACCTTTTAATTTAGAAGAAAATTTATATCAAGAACAAGAGGTCCAACAGTCATTGGTTGGACTGAGAATGAAGGATCCAATAAACAGTTGACGGTCATAGAAAAATAATCATTGTACAGTACATAGAAATATAAGGAATGTGGGATGTTGCCAGTCAAGTGTTATTATTAGACCTGAAGCAGAAGGTACAGCTTATTAACAGCTCATAAGAACATGACAAGTATTGTAAACATTGTTGCCTAAAATGATTGGGTCTGCAACATGCTGTAATATAGGGTGTCCAAGAAAAATGTCCCTGCCTGCTCCCTGCCTCCCTCCAACTCACAGTGTCTCAGGGAGGGAGGCAGGGGCAGTTTTCTGGGACACCCTTTATAACATAACTATCACTGACAGCCTCTAAAAATAGATGGTAATCATGGATAAGGTTATCGCTCTTGATGCTCCAGATCTTCCTAATGAAACTCCCATCAGCAATACTGTTTAAACTTAAGATAGACATCATTCTTTAATAAACTACAGTATATAACTTGACACTGTTATCTTGGGGGCTGTTGAGACTTTTGTAAAATCATCCCACAGGAAGGTTGTCACTCCTGATGAGTCTTAACCTTGCCCGTACAGCCCCACCACACTGTGAGGTATCAGTGTTACTCCGTGGTACACAACTACACTATGAAGTACAGGTTGACAATCCCTTATCTGAAATCCTTGGGGCCAGAGGCATTTCGGAATTTTTCGGTTTTCAGAATGGTTAGGTTTTTTTTTTTTTTTATACAGTATAGCCCACCCGGGCATAGATCACTGACCCACATCAGGCCTGGGGGGGGCAAAAATATTATAATAATAATAATAATAATACAGTACTGTAATAATAATTCATAGGTCTACGTCGCATTTCTCACTTTTGATCTTTTTTTCATTCTTGTATTTCTTTATTATTATTATTATTTTATTACAGTATTATTGTTATTATTATTATTATTAATTTTATTATTGTATTTTATTATTACAGTACTATTATTATTATTGTCATCATTATTATTTTATTTTGGTGTACAGTATTTTAATTAAAATTTTTATTTACTATGAATAATTATTATTATTATAATTATTATTACTATTACATTTTCGCCCACCAGGCCCCGATGTGAGTCAGTGATTTATGCCCGGGTGGGCTAATCCCTGTCAAAAAAAAAAATGCCCCACCAAAAGCTTTCGGTTTTTAGAGCTTTTCGGTTTTCGGAATTTCGGATAAAGGGTTGTCAACCTGTACAGCTAATATTAATCTTTACTCAACTAATTACAAATCAAATTTTCCAGCTTTAGCCATAACTTCTGATACACCAATTATCATGGGTTCTTGGTCATTAAAATTTATTCTTTGTATTCGCTCACTTGCCTAACTCAAAACAGAAAGCACAGATATTGTTTCAAACTCCTTTCACTTTTGTATTACCATTAGGATGAGTCATGTGGCAGCACTTCCAGCCTTCCCACAGGCACTATTAAGTGAGCTGTCAGTGGAGGTGATTTATGTGATGTTTTACCAAGTCTGCAGGTTATGTATGTGTTCAACACCTCTCACTGTGGCGGTGTGTTGGAGGGTAAGGAGTGTGCGTGTTCTGACCATGGGAGTTTCTGGTTCATGGAAAACTGGATGTAGGAGGTTAAATCCTGTGTGTGTGTGTAAATGTCTTATTATTAACGAACTACAAATAATACATTAAGTTCTTCTTTACTACACACCAAAACCATGTTATTTACCCCCACGTTAAGATGTGTTATCGGGTACAATAACATGGATCTGGTTATTAATAGAGAGAAGGATAAAATAAAAACCACAAGGATAAAAAAACCATGAAGCTCAGACCTCCATGTAGTGCAACAGTCACATAAAACTGAACAAAGAGCAACACATGGTAGGAGGTAAGCTGGAGAGAGGAGGTACACATACACTACATAATCACAGGCAACAGAAAAGAAGGCATATATGTGTTAGCGTTGTTCATAAACGATCCAATGCTCAGAGCAGTTCTTGATAATAGAGTTAAAATACTATTAAAAACGCAGACATCTTTATAATAAGAATCGTTTATAATACCGTCATAATCAGCTATTTTTCCTCTTTGCATTTCTTAATACTGGTATGAAAGTTTATGAAGTCAGAAGGGGGTTTGTAAATCATATTGTATTTCTCATGTGGAAGTGAGGTATTCCCTGGCTTGTTACAGTACACGATATTCACAAAGACAACTAGCTCGTCAAACATAACAAGAGGGACACTTTTACACGAAAAGAACAAAATAGTCGATTATTGGAAAAAAACAAACAAAAGTAGAAAACTGGGAATATAAGTGGTACAGTAGCAAGTGGTAGAGGAACAAGTGGTAAGTGGTAGACAATTTTCAAGAGATAATTAAAATAAGTCCCATAAACTAAAAAATTCCCCAAAAGCAGATATAAATTTTGACTCAAGAATTAGATTTGCCTTAAAAGAAGAATCTAAGCATTGTATCATTTATGGTCAAAAAATTTCAATCACCTTGTTCAGAAGGCCCAAAGTTGTTAGCAAGGCCTATCAGAAACAAAAGCAAGTGACACTGACACTACTGACTCTATATAGTAATGTGTTATATGGCAGCCCTCAGGCTTTACCTTAAGGAAGCAGTATGATCCAAACATTACAATAACAACAACTTTAGGACAACAATACTTTTAAATTAATACTGTAGTTATATATCACTTTTACTTTATTAAATAATCCTATTGATAACACTGCATGGTATTCCTAAACACAGTAGGTATCCTCATATAAGCTACACTATCAATAGGTGAGTATTAGGCAAACTTTTTCTCACAGCTCATTTTTAGTTCAATCCTAAAACCCAGGTATTGAGCGGTATGGTGTCCCTCACACAGGCCATTCCAGAAAACTCTAAAAGGAATAAACTTAAACAGAAGGTCGACGTCTCTCACAAGGCAGCACACGGGTCACCGGTTCTCAAACTCACAGGACATGCATGCATGCATTTATCATCTTATTATGGCTTTACAGGCTTTTGGCGAGTGACTCAAAAGATTCTACTAGACTCAACACTTTATGGCAGTACAGTATCCATCTCCTTATGACTGTTGTAAGTCAGCAGCAATAAGCATTTTTCTTGCCAAGAACAACTGCTGTAAGAACAGCTACTCACCCAAACACATTTTGAGCTTAATAAGGTACCCATTGACATGAGGGTTGCCTCTAACACTCTGGGAGTCATTTGGGTCACAAGTTTACAACTCTCAAAGTATCCCTACATCTGACAATAGAACCTGAGCCTTCTTGATGACCTTCCCAGATCTATTACCATCAACTGTGCCTTGTCAGCTGAGGGTACAACACTGTTCTTCTGTTGTACAAACACACAGCTTCTTCACACTTTGGTTTCTATGAGATGATAAGTAAGTTTTTGGTGACAACCATCCAGACAGTACTATTTGGAGGGTATGGTAACCACAAGGGTCATAACTACACCATTAATTTGTTTCATTGTGCAAGTTTTAAACATAGTTTGTAAGGATCCCTCATGAAATTCATTCAACTGTCAGGCAGTGAAAATGGGTTCCATAGGCCCATTAAAAGCAGTACAAAAGTAGCATAGTAAGCATTTGGCATTAGGGATCAATGTAGCCAGCACTGCACTTGACTGCCTTCACTTCACTTCCTTGGTGTGTTCTCTCTCCTTAATATTTCTTGACAACAATGTATGTCACTATATGGCATTAACAACACAGATCCTTGTTTCACTCCAGCAGTACTTCAGCCACTGTTTATAACTCAACAACACATTATTACAACTAAGGTAGTGTAACAAACGGTACACCTTACATATATCAACTGCTTTACTCTTTCTCATTATTGTATTATTTAGACCTTTATGTCACCCCCAAAGACTCAAGTACAATGAGCCTTCACATCTCCACAGGAACCTCACAACTCCTCTTTCCTTCATTACCATAACCTGCACCTCCCTGGGGCCTGGCCATTCCATATCAACACAACTGAACACATCTAACTTGCCATAATTAATTTTTAATGAAATGCTTATTTAGAAGTGTTTAAAAAAAAAATTCTAAATCACTTTATCTCATACACTTGAGTATCAGGAATCCGAAAGAGCTAGGGACCAATAGGCTTTCAAAAAGTAGATAACTTTGGAAATTTGATATGTGTGAGATGTGTACAGTAGCTAAAACAACTATCTGTGCATACTTTGTGGGAAACATTATGAGACCATGGACCATAAATATTGGTTTATGAGGGCTGTCACTAGTCACAAGTAAAATTTCGGAGCATATTGACCCCCACTTGCACAGATAGTTGTTTTAGCTACTGTACCTGAATGACACCACCAATAACAATATATTTACAGTAAAGAGAAATGCATATTCAACAAGTTATGAAAATAAATGGCCTTGAATTATTGGTAATTAACTTGGAGCTGAAGTGTTGAAAGATGAACAGGTAGGATGAAGAAGAGGAGGGTGGAGCCACCTGGCACACTGTAGCTATGAGCATCTCAGAACAAAAGTTATATTGTCTCGGTCACCATATTCCTCAAATAGTTTATCCATGCTGTAATTCTTGGCCAACCAATGGCTCTCCTCTCCTCCACTTTTAAACTCATGCATCTCTTTACCCAACTGGTCTCATTCGTTCTCTGCACATGCCCAAACCATCTCGGCGTGACTCAACACAAAACTTCGCTAATACCTGTACTCTCAATACCCAGCCGCCCTCCTAGCTATGAACAAGGTTTCCTATTTTTCAGTCTCACACCACACAATCCACCTCACTCTTGTCATATTAGCTCAATAAAGTCAGCTTATATCATCCTCTTTAACTGCCCATGTTTAATCTCCATACATCATCACGCTCCTTACATCAATTACGTACAGCTTTCCTTTCATGCTAAGGGAAGGTCTAGCCAATTCTGACTCTTGGAACTGAGCTAGCCATCAGCACCCCCTGTAGCACTGATCATAGTCCAGGGACACATTATAATCAATCTGGAGTTTATTGATTAACTTTATATAATTTGTATTTAAGAACAGATATGAGGTGATATATATGTGTTGTGTTTGTGTGTGTTTTCCTACTTATTGTTTAAGATCTTATCTATCATTTTCTGCAGTTTTCTTCAGCCCATTTCCCTTGATACTTCCCACATACAGTATATAGGAAAGGAGGAAGAATAATAAACATATGGAAATACACAATAAGACATTATTTCCTGATACTGTACAATAATGACTGGAGGTAAAACTACCCTGTGGTAAAATACTCTGTAAGGCAAGAACAGTACAGTACAGTATATACCTTCTTTTCTGTAAAAACTGAATTACTAAAAACAAAGTGAGTATGGGTCAATATGCAGTAAGTAAGGTTTATGAAGAGAGGGGTCCATCTAAGCATGCACACAATAAAAAATTTACAGTTCAAAATATGACTACAGGTTACTACTATAAAATACTGTACAGTATTCATACTGTAAACAGTACCTGAAAAATAACATTTCATTACATCACAAAATAAGTTTCTTTATCTTTAAAACTATTCTGAAAATATTGGAAGGGTATTGGGAGGGTTTACTGCATATATCTCGAGCTTTGTGACACTATTGTTGTGCCCCACTGAGCCCCTAACACCACAATAATAACAACAGAGGCAGCATATGTAAGCTCGGTCAGGAAGCTGCATATATTTGTATCCAAAATAAACAAATAATCCATTTACAAAATTCTGCATAGCATTATACTACTGTACGGTGCATATATAAAACAATAAATTCAGTCAAGTGTTAACAATATAGAGTGAATAGAAAAGTAAATTATTTAATATCGTAATACATTTACCATAAATCAAGGTGCTGTATACCTGCACTGTACTGTACATTCATTGTGGTCACCTGGACAGCAACACATTCAGTACACTTGACGGCAATAATGTTTACAAGCTGTATGGTTACTGTTATAAGCAAACTGAAACTTTTAAAACATCAGTAACCTGCCATAAATACTTGATTTCATTCTGTAAAACAGATATAATCACACAAAGAATATAATGTGAGTAGCAGTGAGTGTGAGGCAGTCTTCCCTCCCTCTTCTTCTGTAATGTTGCTTTTGACAATTAATATAAAATTTGCCTGTAAAGTTATGTTTCCACATTCAGGAACAGTTTCTGCTCTATATATAGTTCAAGTACAACAGCCAGACAAACAGATAATAACTTATTGAAAAGTGTCACACAAGTTCATACTAAGAAGAAGAGCCCAAGAATACCAGTTTATATTGTACTCAGGGGCAGAGGGGTGGCAAAACCTCTGTTATGCCATTATGTGCATCATTCAGTGTAATAATGTGGCACAGTGATAAACCATAATTCTCCACCTCTCAATACATTAATTTCTTTACTTCCTTCCAATTTATTCTTGAATAAACTGCCACTCATCTGTTACCTTGCTGTGGTCACCAAGCCAATTCTTTTCCCCCGATCAAAGTTTAGAGTCACTTTTGAGTATTAATTATTGTTAAAAAAGTTAATTACAGTTATATTAAATATTTACAACATTACACAAAAACAGCCTGTTTTACCAAAAACATTTGTTGAGGAAATAAGGCATAATTCAACTTGTTAATTAAAGCATTAGTTATTTTGTATGTCATGCCTTCATACAGTACAGTATCCAGTTACTCTTGAAGGAAATACTAGATCATACCTACAGATATTGTATGCCTTTACTTCAATGTTATTTGTAGCATTTAAGAATAAATATATTAAAGAACAGAACAAAGCAAATATTCTTTCTAAAACACAAAAGTTGAAGAAAAGAACTTGCAAAATATCTTGCTGGCAATCACAGATCATTAAGCTAGAAGAAATATATCATTACTATAGCAGAGTTAACAGCACTCAGGCATAATAGCAGTCAATACAAGCTCTTGTCTCCCACACAGCGCTGTAACCGGTAGATCATCTTGCTGCTAACCATTATAATATCAGAAGGTGTAACTATCAGAAGAAGTTACCAATATATGATAAATCTCTTGCACAACAGGTTTCATACAAGTACAGTACCTGGTGATTGATATTTAATACCATAATCATTAACAATAAACATACTACCATGATGTAGCTTCTAATAAGTCACCATTGCCAAACAAGAAAACTGTTTATGCAAAAGTTAATCATATATAAATTATTAACTACAGTACAGTATATAGCTACCATAGTTGAAAGTACTACTATTAGTCAACAAAGAGTAATAGTACGGAATAAACTCAACTGACCTAAGGTGACCCCAGTGTTGATGCGGTGGCGGTGAATGTCTGTCGGTAGAGACGCTTGCTTGGCATTGACCTGTTGCTGAAGAGCCTCCACCTTGAGAACGAAAATAGAGGGAGAATTATTATTTTTTAATTTCTTGTTTTATTTCGCTTAATTAACTGCTCAAGTGCCAATAACTGAAACTTGGAGATGATAATAATCGCACTGCTTTGGCATGTTCTTAAACTTAGATACTGTTCATGACATGGCTCAGGGGGGAGGGGGAGCGGGAAGGGGAGGCAGTGTACATAACCTACCACAACTTGCTTCACCCTCTCGCTAGAAGAAAAAAACACATCTGGGAAAAAGGCCTCCATGTGGAAATAATAACAAAAATATCAAAGGAGAGAGGAAATTAATAACACTTTAGTCTGAGGTTAGATGAAGGTCTGAAGCAAGGAAAAAAACAATAAATAATAATTACCTCACAATAAATAATAATTACCACACAATAAATAATAATTACCACACAATAAATAATAATTACCTCACAAAAAATAAAAATTACCACACAATAAATAATAATTACCTCACAAAAAATAATAATTACCTCACAAAAATATCACCACCATTATCAGAGTCTTACCTGTAGTCTCATGTAAGCAAAGGACGCCTGATGAATAGCTGTGATCCATGAGTCCCTCTCACTCTGGCATAAGGCTGCACAGTGTTGGGTGCCTCGACACTGCAAAACAACACTTTATACAGGTACTAGACAATGATTATACAATGGGCTCTCGATATATTGGACTTTCATCTCAATACTGTATACCCTGTAGTGTAGTCTGTTAGATGCAAGTTTCACATCTAATGGACCCTCGATCTAATGGACTTTCATCTAGATACTGTATACCTTGTACTGTAGTCTGTTAGATGCAAGTTTCACATCTAATGGACCCTCGATCTAATGGACTTTCATCTCAATACTGTTATACCCTGTAGTGTATCTGTTAGATGCAAGTTTCACATCTAATGGACCTCAGTCTAATGGACTTTCATCTAGATACTGTATACCCTGTACTGAGTCTCTGTTAGATGCAAGTTTCCATCTAATGGACCCGATCTAATGGACTTTCATCTCAATACTGTATACCCTAGGTGTGGTCTGTTAGATGCAAGTTTCACATCTAATGGACCTCGATCTAATGGCCTCATCTAGATACTGTATACCCTGTAGTCTGTTAGATGCAAGTTTCACATCTAATGGACCTCGATCTAATGGACTTTCATCTCAATACAACATACCCTGCTGTAGTCTGTTGAATGCAAGTTTCACATCTAATGGACCCTCGATCTAATGGACTTTCATCTAGATACTGTATACCCTGTACTGTAGTCTGTTAGATGCAAGTTTCACATCTAATGGACCCTCAGATATTGGACTTTCATCTCAATACTGTATACCCTGTAGTGTAGTCTGTTAGATGCAAGTTTCACATCTAATGGACCCTCGATCTAATGGACTTTCATCTAGATACTGTATACCTTGTACTGTAGTCTGTTAGATGCAAGTTTCACATCTAATGGACCCTCGATCTAATGGACTTTCCTCTACATGTAGTCTGTTAAATAGAGGTTTCACTATATCAAGAAATTTAACAATGAAACTATCACTTAGACTGATGATGAAGGATTGGCCTATAGTAATGGTTGAAGATATTGTACTGTACTAACTTGGCAACTCAACTTGAACTTGCCCTCCAGAAGGTGTCATAACTACTGCTTCTATTGGCTCTCCTGTGAGGGTGATGGTTATGAGGTTATGATGGGGAGGAACGAATGATCATGGGGAGGAACGAATGATCATGGGGTGAGTTCCTGGCTTGAATGAGGGGTAACTTGGATAAGGTACAATGGACTAAACTGCTTTAAAAGTAAAATAAAAATAAGCCCAGTTAGGAGGATCATTTAGTGAAGGTGTCAAACTAGAGATGCTCACCGAGATTGAATGCAAAAGGAGCGTCCGTAGATTCGTCAAGATTCACCTGGCAATTCTCTAACACTATCACCCCAGCAGGTTCTGACCAGTGATCCCGGGACTTGAAGTAGAAGAGCAGGTTGCCACGTAGTCGACACCATCGCTCTGTGCTCACTGTTAGGAGAAAACATTGAATTAGTTAACTGTAAACGACAGATCCACAGAGAGAAGTTACTGTATGGTTTTTGACATCTCAGAACAGATAATTGTGTGATAACGTTATCGGGGAACAGTGATTTGAAGAACTAGGGAACTAAACCGGATATCCTGTTATCTGATGGAGTCTGTACCCAGCCCCCCCCTCTCCACTGTAACTATGAGGCACTCCAGGTGTTGTATAAATCAGGAGTTACAGTATACAGTAAACCCCAAACACAGCTGAACTCTCATAACAGAATACAATAATTTTTCTAGATTCCTGTATACAAATTTAAAGAGAATGTCCCTTAAAATCATGCCCATAATAAGTAATATTTACATCACAATAACCTGTACATCTAAATAAACTTTGTTGTAATGACGTCACACACAACACTGATCGGTAAGGTTCCTCAGATAGCTGTTTCAAATATGAATCTCTATATGGAAATAAATTACACCAGCCAGTAGTATATATATGATGGGGAACTGGACCTGTCTCTGTTATTTAGAAGTCTGTTCATCTTACTTCCAAGACAAGATGACGGAGAAAAACGACAAATAAAAACGATTTCCTAAACATTTCAACATTTCACATCACGGAGAAATTTCTTCCTCTCCCTCCCTCCTCCTCTCTCCTCCCTACCATAAAAAACCTTCTGTAGCAAAAGTGCCCTAAGTTCAATCTCATTAATTATATCTACAATGGGGGGGGGGAGGGGTCACCTGGGAAGTACCTGTAGTACCAGTAATTAGGCTTGGTGAGGCTCTTGTTGTTGTGGAGGGTGTGGTCAATGTTAGCTCATGATACAGTTTCACTCCCACTAACCAGGGGGGGTTCTGGGGCACTCATTCACATGGGGGTAAAGGAAAGTAATAAGTGTTTGGAAGGAAGGAGTGGAGAGAAGAAGGAATAAGTAAATAAAGACAGATAAGAGTGGAGAGAAGAAGGAATAAGTAAATAAAGACAGATAAGAGTGGAGAGAAGAAGGAAGAAGTAAATAAAGACAATGATAAGAGTGAACGTAAGAAACATGAAGATAAGAAACAAAAGGGAAATAATAAAAAAATATAAAAAATCTGTATAAACGTAACTAGAAAGTCAGATTATCTGGAAAACAAAATGGTGTCTGATCGAGAAGAATTATGGAGGAGACAGCCTGGATGTGAGAGCTTTAAAGTGAAGGAATTGTAGAAGCTGAGATAAACTTATATACACTGCAGTACAGGTAACTCTTTTGTGGATACTGGTCAAAAAAAACATTCGGCAGAGAAAACATATTTAATTTATATATACTGTACCTTGTGAAAAAAATATGATTGAAAAAAAAGAAGAAGTCATTACAGGCAACAGGAAGCTTTGGTGTTAGCTAGTTACAGTAACGACCTTGTTAGTTGGTCTTGTGTTAGAGCAGAGGCTAAGTAAAGCATGTAAAGGGGTTATCAGTGTAGTCAGCCCATAGTACCTTGTGTTCAGTGACCTCAGCCCATTTTAGTGATTTAGGATCGAATCATAATATGGGCCAAAGTTACCATGGGCTAACTTCACCTGTATCCTGTAGTCTGTCCAATCTTTGCAAATATTGTAGAACTTTAGAAAATAAGTTGGAGAAGCGTGAGGTAGCAACAAGAGAGAGAGAGAGAGAGCTATGGTGGCATGAAAGCAAAACATCAAAATATTTGTTAATAAGAATTTTGATGGGAAAGCTGAAGCAATGGAGAATCTGGGATAGGTCGAAGGAAAGGCTTGAAAGGAGACAGGTTACTATTATTGGGGAGCAGAGAGACGTCAACACAGAACAGTCACTGGTATGAGTGATGGAAAGTGACCATACGATGAGGTTACAGCTGTCAAGGAGGAGTGTTTAAATCATGTGAGTAAGATGCTTGGGACATGAATGAGGGAAAGTGAAGACTGAAACAGTACAGGTGCAGTAAGCCAAATAAGGAAAATATATGAAGAAAAGTCTCCTTGATGACAAGCAGAAGTTGACAGACAATGTAACTGATATATCAACTTATTATGGTAGTACAATTAGAAGGAATAAAGGAATAATGGTAGAGCAGCTCAAGAAAGATATTATGACACCATTTTACCATTGTTTAAGTGCAGATGAAAATTCTCAGCACTATTCGTGTCCTCAGGGGATTGACTCCCGGTGTTTTTAAAACAAGGCATTGGCTCAGACTGTTGTTCCTGAGTCACACCAGGAAATTAAAGTCTATTTCAGCTTGTAGCCAGAGGAAAGGAAACATATTTTACAAGTATATGTTGACTTATCTAAGGAGGATCTTCTTCAAAAATGTTTGGGGAGGAGGGGGGGGGGGTGTAGGATCATTTACATTTGTCCATATATATTTACACCTAGCACAGTATTTATGAGGTCCAGGAATTTCTTTTGGCTCTCCCTAAAAACTACATTTTTTCTGGGGGTTTGCTCTTGATTATCTTTATTTTTGGGACTATTGCCTTTCTTTGTACCTGGTTTTACACCTCCATGTGAACCCACAACAACTTTTGAAGACAAGATTTCGATGCACCATTTATTTTTTATGGTACATCAGGTTTATATTAAGTATTAGCAACTTTTTGCAGCTATTCGTAACACAAAGACCTTCTCATGTATGCAAAATCTTATTTCCCATTATTATAGATAAAGAGTTGTTCTATAAAAGGAGTCTCAATTATTAAAATTGGCCAACAAATACTGGCTATGAAGATCCTTCAACTACAAGAGTAAAATAAACCAAAAGGACGTCCTTTAGGAGAACAGTACAGCACTAATTTCATCCAGTGACTAAAACAAACATTTCCATTGTGAGTCATTATGATGTACACAATGTTGGCTCATAACTTAGAACACAGTTTTTAGAATCAGTAACCCGGTGTGATAGTTTCTGACCTGTTACAGATTAGTACCGATTTCATCACGTGACTCCCAAGAATATTTAACGTGATTCCAAGAATATTTCCATCCTATCAGAGCCTGTACTGTACACAGGTAAATCAATGTAAACAATTTTCACCTCTGGGAGCCGGGTTTTGAACCCAGGCCACCAAGGTTGGCAGTCAGGCAGCTTATCCACTGGACCATGATGGGCTAAAAGCTAGCCAAGCTTGGTGGTGGGTATGGGACCTTGAGCTACAAGCGAGTAGCTAAGGATGGGTAGAATTTAGCCCATCGTGGCCCGGTGGATAAGCCGCCTGACTCCAACCTTGGCGACCCGGGTTCAAAATCCGGCACCGAGATGTGAAATCTTTTTTTTATACATTTTCATCTCTTGAGTGAGAAGCACTAGTGACCAAGCTCATGGTGGCAAAGAGGGAAAGAGCGATTATTACCAAAACTGTGAACTAGAAGCAATACAAATAGAAACAAGACATAATGCAATGTAGCAACACACCAAGAATACCAGCCCTTTATATACAAGCAACTCAACAAACTACAGTACAGTACTGGGTAAGAATATGCCACCACCATGATCACTCTTGTGCCTCAGGAAACAGGCCACTCTACTACTACTGCTACTGACCTCCACCAGCACGACCAATGACAACACTGTGTGGGTAGATGAGGGGTTTTGTGTGGCACCATACCTGCAGTGTGGATGGTAGTGTGGCACCATACCTGCAGTGTGGATGGTAGTGTGGCACCATACCTGCAGTGTTGGATGGTAGTGTGGCACCATACCTGGAGTGTGGATGGTAGTGTGGCACCATACCTGCAGTGTGGATGGTAGTGTGGCACCATACCTGGAGTGTTGGATGGTAGTGTGGCACCATACCTGCAGTGTGGATGGTAGTGTGGCACCATACCTGGGTGTGGATGGTAGTGTGGCACCATACCTGAGTGTGGATGGTAGTGTGGCACCATACCAGTGTGGATGGTGTGGCACCATACCTGCAGTGTGGATGGTATGTGGCACCATACCTGTGTTGGATGGTGTGTGGCACCATACCTGGAGTGTTGGATGGTAGTGTGGCACCATACCTGGAGGTGGATGGTGTGGCACCATACCTGTGTGGATGGTAGTGTGGCACCATACCGGAGTGTTGGATGGTAGTGTGGCACCATACCTGCAGTGTGGATGGTAGTGTGGCACCATACCTGGAGTGTTGGATGGCAGTGTGGCACCATACCTGGAGTGTTGGATGGTAGTGTGGCACCATACCTGAGTGTGGATGGTAGTGTGGCACCATACCTGAGTGTGGATGGTAGTGTGGCACCATACCTGGTGTGGATGGTAGTGTGGCACCATACCTGGAGTGTTGGATGGTAGTGTGGCACCATACCTGGAGTGTTGGATGGTGGTGTGGCACCATACCTGGAGTGTGGATGGTAGTGTGGCACCATACCTGCAGTGTGGATGGTAGTGTGGCCTGGATGGTAGTGTGGCACCATACCTGGTAGTGTGGCACCATACCTGGAGTGTGGATGGTAGTGTGGCACCATACCGGAGTGTGGATGGTAGTGTGGCACCATACCTGGAGTGTTGGATGGCAGTGTGGCACCATACCCTGGAGTGTTGATGGTAGTGTGGCACCATACCTGGAGTGTGGATGGTAGTGTGGCACCCATGGTAGTGCCTGGAGTGTTGGATGGTAGTGTGGCACCATACCTGGAGTGTGGATGGTAGTGTGGGGAGTGTTGGATGGTAGTGTGGCACCATACCTGGCAGTGTGGATGGTAGTGTGGCACCATACCTGGAGTGTGGATGGTAGTGTGGCACCATACCTGGAGTGTTGGATGGTAGTGTGGCACCATACCTAGTGTTGATGGCAGTGTAGCACCATACCTGGAGCGTGGATGGAGTGTGGCACCATACCTGGAGTGTTGGATGGTAGTGTGGCACCATACCTGGTAGTGTGGTGTTGGATGGTAGTGTGGCACCATACCTGGAGTGTTGATGGTAGTGGCACATACCCTGAGTGTTGGACCTGAGTGTGGCACCATGCCTGTGGATGGTAGTGTGGCACCATACCTGCAGTGTGGATGGTAGTGTGGCACCATACCTGGAGTGGATGGTAGTGTGGCACCATACCTGGAGTGTGGATGGTAGTGTGGCACCATACCTGGAGTGTGTGGATGGTAGTGTGGCACCATACCCTGGATGGTGGTAGTGGATGGAAGTGTAGCACCATACCTGGAGCGTGGATGGTAGTGTGGCACCATACCTGGAGTGTGTGGCACCATACCTGGATGGATGGTGTGGCACCATACCTGGAGTTTTGATGGTAGTGTGGCACCATACCTGGAGTGTTGGATGGTGGTAGTGGAGGTAGTGTAGCACATACCTGGAGCATGAATGGTGGTAGTGAAGGGTAGTGTACCATACCTGGGAGTATGGTGGTAGGAAGGGTTGTGTAGCACCATGCCTGGAGCGTGGATGGTGTTAGTGGCGGTAGTGTAGCACCATACCTGGAGCGTGGATGGTGGTAGTGAAGGGGTAGTGTAGCACCATACCTGGAGCGTGGATGGTGGTAGTGAAGGGTAGTAGCACCATGCCTGGAGCCTGGGAGCGTGGATGGTGTTAGTGGAGTAGTGTGGCACCATACCTGGAGCGTGGATGGTGTTAGTGGGTGGTGGGCACCATACCTGGAGCGTGGATGGTGGTAGTAGGGTAGTGGCACCATACCTACCATGGAGTGTTGATGGTGGTAGTGGAGGATAGTGTAGCACCATACCTGGAGCGTGAATGGTGGTAGTGAAGGGTATTGTGGCACCATGCCTGGGAGCATGGATGGTAGTGTAGCACCATACCTGGAGCGTGGATGGTGGTAGTGAAGGGTAGTGTAGCACCATACCTGGAGCGTGGATGGTAGTGAAGGGGTGTAGCACCATAAGTAGGTAGTGTAGCACCATACCTGGAGCGTGGATGGTGGTAGTGAAGGTGAGTAGCACCATACCTGGAGCGTGGATGGTGGTAGTGTAGTGGGAGTGGAGGTGGGTGTAGCACCATACCCTAGGAGCGTGGTAGTGTGGCACCATGCCTGTGGCACCATACCCTGGATGGTAGTGAAAGGTGAGTGTAGCACCATACCTGGATGGTGGTAGTGAAGGGTGTGAGCACCATACCCTGGAGCTGGAGTGTGTAGTGAAAGTGAAGGTAGTAGCACCATACCTGGAGCACCATACCTGGAGCGTGGATGGTGGTAGTGAAGGGTAGTGTAGCACCATACCTGGAAGCTGGGGCGTCACACAGCTAAACTCCCTCAATGGAGCCTTCTTCCTCCGGGCCAGGACTCCATCACTGCCTGTAAAGACCCACACACCCCGAGTCACTCTCCTTGCACTCTTTCCCCTCGCTGCTACACCGTGTACACTCATATGCTCAACAACAAATATAGATCTAACATGTAAACCCTTCCAAACAATACTGTAACTAAGACTCAGGAAGTGTTGCATAGGTTAAAAAAAAAAAATGTTCCCCACACAGCCACGTACCACCAGCAAGTTCATGAACAAAATACATTCATGGTGTACTCTTGGCACCCAACACTCATCAATTTATTATAATTAATCCCGGATAAAAAATTTGTAGCAAGGACACCACACACACCACACCACCACCACCACCACAATCTGTATCTACCGTCGATTAATTTATATGAGTGAATCTTCGTCTACCTCTCCAACTATCATTCTGGAACTCAATCTTTTCATCCAACGCCCAGAAACAATAATGGTTTAACCCTTTCAATATTATAGTTTAACCCTTTGACGATGATGGTTTAAGCCTTTGACGATGATGGTTTAAGCCTTTGAGGACGACGATGATGATGATCTTACCCTCTAGGACTCAAAGGGTTTAATACACAGCTTCTGAAGAATTTGGTAAACACTTGAGATTGTAGAGGATATCACTTGAGGTCGACTACAAGAAGGTTGATGGCAATTTCCTCGAAGGCCGATGAAGGACGAGGGAGGGAGCGACCACCTGGTGAGGGATGCACTGAGGAGATGAAGGAGGGTGAGGATGTCCCGGCAAGATGATGCATGAGGGAGGGAAGGAGAGAAGGGAGGTAGGAGGGAAGGAGAGAAGGGAGGTAGGAGGGAAGGAGAGAAGGGAGGTAGGAGGGAAGGAGAGAAGGGAGGTAGGAGGGAAGGAGAGAGAAAGAAAACAACCCAGCATGAAGGAGGGGGTAGAGGATAGGCTGTCACTGTAATAAATTATAATAGTCACCGCTGGAGATTTGCATATGGCATCGTTTTCTTTATCCACAGAGAGAAAAAAAATAAGGGGGTCAATTTTATTACGATTATTATCACAAAGTTTAATATGTGGGGCTTGTTACCTGGTGGGGTGTTTGGGTGGGGTGTGGGTGGGGTGTGGGTCGGAGGTATGGAGGGGAGAGGGTAGGGGTGTGGGTGGGAGGTATGGAGGGGAGAGGGTAGGGTGGGTGGGGGTGTGTGGGGTGGGGTGTGGGTCGGAGGTATGGAGGGGAGAGGGTAGGGTGTGTGGGTGGGGGGTATAAGGGGGGGTGAAAGATGAGGAGGTGAGGTATGGGCGTGGTCCAGCAGGCACCACGCCCATATTAACTCATCCCGAGAGTGATAGCGTCAGTCTCGATTTGTTCTAATTTCCTGGACGGTAATGAAGATGTATGAGGCATGCTGGCTGGCTGGTTGGTTGGTTGACTGGCTGCTGGCTGGCTGGCTGGTTGACTGGCTGGCTGGCTGGCTGGCTGGTTGACTGGCTGGTTGGCTGGCTGGCTGGCTGGCTGGTTGGTTGACTGGCTGGTTGACTGGCTGGTTGACTGGCTGGTTGGTTGGTTAGCTGACTGGGTGGGTGACTGACTGGGTGGGTGGCTGGATGGCTGATTGATTGACTGGCTGGTTGACTGGTAGACTGGTTGGCTGGCTAGCATACAAGGCAGGCAGGCAGGCGAATGGATAGACGGACGGACGGACGGACGG